TGTAACTGATGTGATTCTGCAATCTGTAATTGGGGTAAAAATGGGAGTTCATAACCCACTTGAATCTAATGTATGAAATATGATATGTCAAGAGCTTTGTAATATTTTGAACAACGAATAAAAAAAAAAAGAAACTGTGAAACCAAAATATACTCTGCCTCTTCCAAATTGTTCTTGTCGGGTATTTTTATCGCAGCAATATAAGGCTGACCAACACACAGAGACCTTCTAAAGGGACTCCAACCCTTGCTGACACCTGCATTGTGACCTTGTGACAGACCCTAAAGCAGAGGAGCCTGGGGAGTTTTCCTGGCCTCTGGATGCACAGAAAATGAAATGAGCTGCCCGTCCTGTTTTGAGTGAGCCAATCTGTGTCGACTCATGATGCACAAAAACAGTACAGACCTTGTTCACACAGACAAGGGCTCAGAATGCCAGAACAGGAAACTAAGCACCCACCATGCATGATCACAGCAACTCTCTTCTTTGCCTGAAAATGTCACTTCAAGAAACAGCAAAAAAAAGAGATGACAAGATTTATTGTTGCCTCAAACTGTGCCACTGATTGCATTTGGCTCAAACCAACAGAAAACTTGATGGAATGATCTCATGGAGACAAGGGTTTATTGGTCTCATTCAGAGCGTCAAGGTTAGGCCACCAGGGGCTCACAGAGCAACTTGGATCATATCTTATTCCATCCTCCTCCTCTGAAAGGTGAACTTTTGAAATGATTATTGTCATACCCAACCAGACTGACACAATATAGTAAATTGTAACAATGAACCACAAGATTAAACACGTGATCCAAATCACTATAAAACAATAGGGAAAGACCGAGAGATCACACCTCATCTCTTATCTTTAATGAACAGATTGTCTTCCCTCCTACCCTATACTCTTGGGTATTTCTTTTTCTTTACAGTTTTTATTTGTGATCACATGTGACTTTTATTAATCAGAAGAAAAAATACTGTTTGAGAGTTGTACATCAAATTGATAGTTCTTGTTTCTTGTATCATGTTTACTTACAGTCAGCTTCTAAATAAAGACAACCCAAAGGGTTGAATTTAAAACAATTGACATTTTCTAAATGGTGGAAATAATGGTAATTGTGGCAGGGTCACAGAGACAGATGTATAGTCCCAACCCTGTAGGAGCTGCCTTTTCAGTTGAAAACTCTGTTTATAATCAGAGAAAACAGTTTAGAGGAGGAATAATGTTTGATTCAAGTGCCTGGTGATAAGTACTGTTGGCAGGTGTTCTAGCAGGGGGAGCCTAAGGTTCTGTTTGTTTGGAAGCTCTACTTCTTTATTTGGGCTGAAAAAATTAGGGGAGGGGGAATGCAAGGAGCAAAATGTAAATTATTTCCTTTATTATGGGCACACATCTGGGTCACCTGTATGTTCCCCACATTGATTTGTTAAAAGAAGCTGAGACTAGAAATAAAAACACAGGATCACATTGCATCTGTTTCTTGGCAGTAGAAGCACCAACCTGGATGTAAATGGGACTGGATTTCTTGTGGCACCTGTTGGTGTATGACCCAGGGCATTTCTGGATTGTACAGTGAGGATTTCACTGTGTTTAATTGATATTACACTATAAAATGTAAAGTTACATAGCACAATGCCAAAGCATGCAAGATAATAAATGCTAATAAACATCAGTATTATTTAGAGTGAGCAAATCAATGTCATAGCATAAAGACAGCATAAAGGTAATGGGGGAGGGGGGAGCTGGGCAGAGGTCGCTCATAGATGGTAGATCTGATCTTAACTGCCAGAGTTGACCCCCAGGGGGTAGGCTGAAGCTTTCCTTCCCCTTCAGGAAGTATTTACATGTGTGAATTAGCAAAAGCTATCTTTCCTCAGAACATCTGCTGGAAAATTGTAACAAATATATAAATCTATTGTAGAGGTAAATATTGATCCCACAAGTTGTATAGTGCTATACCTGCAAAATTAAACATTATATATGAAATTATGTATTCTGGTAGGCCCCTTTAAAGTCTTTCTGAGTCAAGATGGGGTACACATATAAATACATTGTATCAGCATGAAGAAGAAGTTTGATGCTCAGGACAAGAAGAGAGAAAAAAAAATGGAAGTGAAGGAGGAATGACCAGCCAGACCCTGCAGGTCTCCACCCTGTGTTGCTGTGATAGCACTAGGGAAGGTCTGCATATTAGCAAACACTGCCTAGCATGAGACTAGTCTGGGGTGTGAGCCCAATACCTCAATCAAAAGCAGCTCTTCTTTACACAGTTAAGATAGGACACTTGGTACTCCCAGAAGTTGGTTCGAATTGAAAATAAAAACAGTTAAGAAAGGTAGATTTCAGGTTTGTCGTGGAAGCAGGCAGGCTGTACATGAAGGGTTTAAGCTACAACCATGAGTCAGAATCTGAGACCACGTGGGACTTCCAGACTGGACACTACCAGAGGGGAAAGAGGAAGCAGGTCACAATGTCCTAGAAGGCTACTGTCCTGGGGACACTGGTCAGTGTCAATCTGGGTCTAGTCTTACAGCCACAGGGCAGGTTCTATATAGTGGGACTGGAGCAATTTTGAGGATCTGCTCATTGGAGTTGAACCAGGCTATGAGGATAATTACAGGGACCAGGGCAAAGTGCAGGTACTTGCTGGTACCCTGGAGGACAAGCTAATTTGTTGAATAGGTATTGGACTACTACTCTTTGGTAACCTCTTGACCAAGTTTTAGAGAAAGGGTAGGGCCAAGCCTTGAACAAAGCTGGGGTGGTCCCTGCCATGGGGTAGCAACAGTTGACAACAGAAATCCCACTGGGAGCTTAGGTCCAGTTGTCCTCCAGCTTGGAACCTGCTTCCTCCTGATTCTGCCTCTGTTGGAGCCTCATCTTGAAAGCCTTAACTCTGGTCTAACCTGGTCAAACCTTGCTTCTTTGTTTGATGATCCCACACTCTAACTCCAGTTAATCCTTACCATGGAATTCAGGAGACAGAGGCCAAGTTCCTTCCCTTGAGATCAATCCCAGTCATTTATGATGGGTTAAAGAGAAGCCTGGTATTTTCTGGAAATATTTGCCTTCCATATGTTTATCAGTGTTAGTAGCATTCTTTCGGGATTCTCTTACCCTGTTGTTACCTTGTTCATTCATTCACTGATCGATGAGACCAATTTTCCCCATTTTGTTCTCCCCTTTCCCCCTACCCAGACTCGAATTCTGCACCCTGTTGGGCTTCTGTGAGCTGTATTATTTGCTTGTTCTCTATCTACTTTGAAGTCTTGGATTTTAACTTCTTTTGCCTCCTATGAATTTTGCCACTTTAATTCCCTAAGTCATTTTTTTCCACTAATAATTTATTGAGAGGCTGCGTTTTGCAAAGGCCTGAATGTCACAAGATCCACAGACCCCAGGGATCCTAATCTAGGAAGCTAATTAAAATTCCCCCATTTGCCTCTACTTAATTCTCAGGTAACAACATTACTCCTTTCACAAATTTTGTTTGAAAACTTCTACTTATGAATGCCTTCGATATTTTAAACTTCCGCACCTTATGAGATAAATAAGGTTCTAAAGAATCTATCTTTCCAATAACTGCTTAGTTTAAGTCTGGATGAAATAGTTATCATAGAATTAATTGGGAAAAAAAAAAAGAAAATCTTGACTGAACACTAAAGTCTTTTCTATTCTGTAACATGATTTTTTTTTTTTACCTAGATTCTGTCCCTGGAAAGGCAAGCGACTGTAAATGATTCTTTTTAAAAAAAAAAAAAATTAGTTAAATATTAATATAAAAAGGACCCATTTATTAACCAGATTTATTTGATTATCCCCAAAACCTGCCAGACAGAAAGTTCCTTTTACCCACCTTCATTGTTACCCTCTGAGCAGCTCTCTCCATAGCAACTGAAAACTTCTCTGGGCTGAAATAATCCCCTCTGGCTCCCAGTGTACAGTCAAGGAATTTTAAAAACAGGGGACTTTGAAACCACGAAATGCTCTCTGAGATTTAAAAGCCTGCAGAGCTCCAGATAAATAATCGTTTATCTTTCTTAAGGTAAGCACTGGGTTTAGAAATGTTTGTATCATCCTCTGTCATTTTAAAAATGCTAACATAAGAACCTTAAGAAAGATTCTTAACCACCCCTGCCCCCTTAACCTCAAAAGTATTCCCAGTATCTTTGTTACTACCCCAAGATCATTATTAGCTCATCTCTGGGTCAGAATCTGAGATGAGTTGCTGTTAACATTTTGTATTCCTTAAACAATCTACTGAAGAGATTTGTTTTTTTCTCCAAAAGCTGATTGGCTTACAAATCATCTCCTATCCTTTTAATCACAATCGAGTGAGTGGATTTATCAGGGCTTCTGAGATCTTGAAATCTTGTTTTTCTAAGTAATGCATTCTCCAGAATCTTGATCCTTAATCAACTAAAGAGTGACCAGTATTTTATGAACATTACTATTTTTTTCCTCCAGTACTTCTCCTTGTATGAAAACTTCTAACTCAACATTTTATTGGCAATATATGGAATTTATTTTTCCTTTATTTTTATTCTCTTACTTTAGTGATGAAGACCCCAATCAAAATTTCATGGGGTTCTTTACAATGAGCTTAGACGAGGGTGTTTCCTTTCCAGGTCTGGTAACTTGTGTCACCTGCAGAAAAAGAGACAATTTACTCTTCCTAATGTTTGGCAGTTTCAAGACGGGCAATCTGACGTGCTTCTTGGCTGTTTTTCTGTAGCTGGAAAGTTTACAGTCATGGTAGTTTCCTGCCTCTGTTTGGGGTTATAAAAATTACCTACAGACCTCCCGTTGTTCCAAAACAGCTTGTCATTGCAAATCAGCTTAGCCACCCAATTAATGAATCCTTTCAAACATGTTGCAGGCACAATAATTGAAGCCTTTATTTCCCCCCTTTACCACAGAAATTCTTCTTGTCTCAAGTTTATCCTGTGAACAGCCACCCACTCACACCTACCTAAGACAGATTCAAGGTAAAGGAAGCGTGGAAATGTGTTTGTGGACCAAACATTCAGAAATTTGGGTGCCATTGGTCTTTCTACTCAGCCTTATTCCCTTGACTGAGACAGTCAAACCCTCAACCAAGGACAGCAGCAGCACTGGGAGTCAAGGCCAACTGGCAGAAGTACTACAGGTTCTCTCTGCTGGTGACCACCCGCCCCTCAACCACTCACGAAGCCTCATCAAAACATTGTTGGAGAAGACGGGGTGCCCCCGGAGGACAAATGGAATACGAGGAGATTGTAACCTGGTTAGTGAAATACAGTGGGGTCAGGTGCCAAGGTGTGTTCCAAAGAGAGTAATGGATGCTAGAGTGAGTTACTTCAGCAAAGCAAAAGGAAATACAGATCTTTTAAAACCCAAGTGGGCAATGCACTGTGGTCAAATAACATCCAGACTTGGGATCCAACAAACCATTCAGCATTCTGCAGAGAACACTTAAAGATAGAGAATTTGTCGTTGTTGTTGAAATGGTAATGTTTATGTTTTCGAGAACCCTTCTGTGTGTTTAGATAGAGGTATTTATGAGCATGAACTTTTGGTCCTTTCTTATTTTATAATCCTTTCCTGAGCTTGCAGTCAACTTGCCAGTGACTAGTTAGATAGATGCTATTTGTTTTCTGTGGTGTAATTATAGCAGTCTAATGTTTTTCTAATGTTCAATGTTTGAGTACTTTTTTCTAGATGGTTGATTGGTGTTTTCTAATATTTTTCATGGTAGGAAGTTCATAATTGGATAATTGTCTTCATAATGACGAATCTGAGCTGAGGGAGAGAAATGCTACAGGTAGACCTGAAATTAGATCCATGGCTTCTGAGGTCCATAGCACAGCTTTCTCCTAGTCTACAAAGTGGATCCCTACCCTGACTGGGCACTTCTGAATCTGCTGGCAGGTTTCACAGATACCCATGTTGGCACCTTATCCTTCTCAGATGGAGACTGAACTTTCCCAGGATGGAATTAAAAAAAAAATCTCTACAGATCACCTTAATATGCACTCATTGGAGACTTGAGAATTCATCCCATTGGGGTGGGTAGATGTCATGGTAGAGGGGGGATAGAACAGTATATAAGGTGAGAACCCTGTGTCTTAAAATAACTGCAAAGAAAAATCAAGCAAAATTGATCTTTATCATTATATTGCTGACCCATGAGATTTTGGGGGAAGAACCTACAAATATATAGTTAAATGAAAAAATAAGTAAAACAGATGCAAATAACTGCTTCCAAATTAAATTTTGGAATTTTCTTTTCAATCATACATAGTTCTGGGGTGGGGAGGGATTTCATGGCCAAGTGTTTTCTTTCTTTTTTTTTTTTTTGGTGACAGAAGGGATCTTGCTCATAGATACGAGTCTTTCTCTGCTCTGTTTTAATGATAACTATGTACATGGATACATAGCAACAGAAGACATGCCTCTAAACGTACCCAGGAATCATGGGTTACGAATGTCCTCTGAGAATTTGCTTCAGTGCAATGTTCTCCTTTAATGACATGGAGTGCCTTATTAAGGCTGCTTGAATATAGTCTTGCTAGGGGGAATGTAAACAAGCAAAATTGTTCTCCATTTTTGGGGCTGGGGAAAAGGGATTGTTTCACATTTATTGTTTTCTGTGACATTATCAAGAATTTGACCCATTTGGCTTTCCTTTGAATTATTTTCATTCCAGGCCTTGAAATAGTATAATAGTTTCACCCTCTTTCTGATGCTCTATTTCTTCCTTTCTGGAAGAAAACTGAAGTGAAGCAAGGTGAATCTCAGCTTCACCTGCTCAGTGAGCTTCCACTCACCTGCCTTCCCTGTCAGCAAGGAGCCCAGGGAATGTATCCCTGTCATTCATGAGAAACAGTGGAAATAGAGTCCTCCTGATTTCATAAATACCCAGGTTCTGTCTCAAACTATAGGGCTTCAGCTTGCTGTTGAGTCTCTGGTTATCTCAGGGACTTTTCTGGTAGGCAGGGCTCATGCTAGAAACTCTATGGTCAAATGAGAGGGTAAGGGAGTGAGCTCATATCTCTCAATGTCTGGAAAAATAAGGGAAGTGGGTGCCTTGAATTTGTGAGGAGGAAAATAATGTAAGTCTACGTAAACATAGAATTAAAAGGAAACCCGAGGTTTCTGAAAATATTGGGCATTTAAATATAAACCGATTCCTGTGTAGTCTTTGGATAGTTCTTATGTGATCCTGGCTTTTTCTTTTCTTTCTTTTTTAATGAGAAACAGCTTTACTGGACTTAATGAGGGATTAAGTGACTCTACTTCAGTACTAATGTGAACCATGACCCTACATGGTTTCCCAAAGGAAAAAGAGCCTGGTTCTGGCACTTTCTATCTTTTGGGACCTGCTGATCCTCGGCTTCCTCATCAGTAGGACTGATCTAGTGAGTCTCTCCTTGGGGATATCTCTGGGGATCACAGGGACATCTGTGCATGCATGAGCTTGGACACAGGAGCTCAAGTTTCCTCTTTGCCTTCTCTTCCCTATACCTTGTGCTGATGTAGCTGGTCCTTCCTGGTCCAGGGACATTGGAACAGTAACATTCTTCAGAAGGCTTTTCCTACCTGTCCCCCAAGGTCCCCTCAGCTGTGCCAGATGCTCAGAATTTTAACCAAGTTCTCCAGACAATTCTCAGCCACATTTTAAGTTGAGACACAAAGGTCTTTCGTTTATTTCACACTCAGCACTACCCTCCCACTCATTTGTCATAACTTTCATGGGATAAAATGTAGAAAATTATGAGCTTTATCTTGTATCTTTAACAAGTTTACCCTCACTCTTTCTTCTCAGTAAAGACTTTCTTCTTGTCAGTCAGAAAAGCCACTAAAACTAGTTCAGACCATTGAGAGCCACAGTCTGCCATCAGCTGACATCCATCCAGCCCTTTGGCAGGAAAAGGAAGAAATAAAATTTCCTTCTTGTATATTAACATTGATTATTGTCCACTAAAAACAAAGATTCCTCATCCTCAAACAAGACCTCACAAAAATCTAAGAACTTAAGAGAGGACAGTGGATTGGATCAAAATCCAATTTTTAACATCTATGGGGCTAAAACCTCTTAAGTTCATCCTGTAGGTTTGGCAGCTGTCTTATTGATGTAGAAAAAAGGAAATTATCATATTGCTTTTTGTCACCAAGGTTCTCACCTGGCATAATCAATAAGTGAAGCTGAATTACCTACCTAGGCAATCTGATTTGGCTTCAGGGTGTAATGAACAATTATTACCAAGTGTTAGGGTAGCGTATTAGCTTGTAAGGATGCCTCTGCTTGAATTTGAATCAATCTTTTGCCAAAGTTTATTGCTTTATGAAGTCTTCAAAATGAATTCCTAGAATCTGTGTGGGCGTTTTTCCTTTTAAAACTTATGCCTCCACATGACAAGATTTAAGGGAAAATCATTGGATTATTCCTGAATGGGTCCATTCTTCTTTAACAAAGAATCACTTCACTATAGTCAGCAGCCTTGGACAGAGTAGATCTTGATGCCTATGGGGTGGCAATAATTGCAAAAATTTGCTAAACATCCTCCCCAAACACAATTCAGTCAACTGCTAAAAACTTTAACAATGAAAAAAAATCTAGTGATGATACATTGAAAATCCTTGTCCCTAGGGCTGGGGTTGTGGCTCAGAGGTAGAGCACTCACCTAGCATGTTAGAAGCCCTGGGTTCTATCCTCAGTACCACATAAAAATAAATAAATAAAATAAAGATATTGTGCCCAACTACAACTAAACAATAAATATTAAAAAAAAAGAAATAGAAAATCCTTGTCCCCCTCCCTTCCACCACCCCCCAAAGTGCTTTTGGTGGGGGGGTTTGTTTTTCCTTATTTATTTCATTTGATGCTTTCTACTGCATTCGTTCCTCAAACCACCACTTTCTGTATTAGGATACCTTTTCTAAGATTCTAGTGTCATCAAAGGGAGCAAAGTTTTCAGCTCCTGGTCATTTAATTCACAGTTACACCTTTTTTTCAGCAAGCCTCAAAATATTAAAGCAAGGGCTGGGTGGTACCTATTTATTCAAGATTACTAAAATCTCTAGAGACACAAAATTAGATGCTTCCATAACTGGTTTAAACTTTTCAAAGTCAGAAGTTAGTTTTACTTTGTGTGTTGTAAGCCTTGTACAAACCAGTTCTGTAATGCTTAGCACGATTACAATGCATACCCCATTCTCAGGGGCCCCATGCCTTGCAAACCCGATATTCTAATCCTGAAAAGGCCCGGCAAAATGTTGAGCAGGAACCATTGATGGATTAGAGTCTCAGGCATCTCAGAGATGTCTGAGATGATCAGATGATGAAATGTGGCCACATACACTGCTGTGTGTCCAAACCCTGGCTATATGTGCATGGTCTGGTGGCCTCATGAGCATCCTCTCCTGGTGTTGATGGTCTTCTTCCTACTGATCCAGCCCCATCCATCAGTATATCATCATGAATTCATTTAACTCTCTGCATATATAACATTCTCATTCTGATTGCCATTTGACTTTTACCAATCCTATTGATCCTAGATGATCTTTATTCCTATAAATTAGGAAGGAGGGAAAGTAATTGGTTGGGAGGGCTGTACAATGGGTCCACAGCTTATGTTCTCCATGACACAAAAGAAAACAATAAGAGAATAAGGCCTATCCTTGCTAGAGCAGGAATTAGGATTAGTACAACTAACCAGTATTAGCTCTGTGGCTTTAGGCTAGTTAGTTATCAGATCTTACACTTGGTTTTCACATATACTATAAGTAAATTTTTTTTTCACAGAAGGAAAATATGATTCTTATTTCTGTTCATTATCTTTGCATATTGCATACAAATGTATCCATCAATTCACTAAATATTAAGTAATTGCATAACTGGTATTCTAAATGCCTTACAGTATGTGAAAATATTTGGTGGATTATTATACAGGCTGAGGATATTTTTCCATCTAAAATAATGGAATAGGGTTTACACTGTCAAAGAAATCATTATCCTAAGCATTTTCCAGAACCAATTAGATTATACTCTGAGGAGTGCCTGGATATTAAGGTGCTCAGCACAGTTCTGGGCACTGAACTACTAATAATTGGGAGCTAATACATAGTTTGGTTTCAGGAGGAGGTTGTTTGGCACCAAGAATGACTTTATTGCACTTTTGTTTCAATTTATTCACTTGTTGTTGGTGTCAATCCTGCAAAAGGCTAAACTTGTAAAAGTAAAATTCACTCTCATTGCAAATCCCATTTCTCCTCTCTTTGCTGAGTTCTCAAGCCCTTGCAGTTGAGAGGGAGTGGGACTGGAGTTCCTTGGCTTGTGGAAGAACATCATTATCCTTTGGTTTGGAAATTTATTCCTCTGGATCAGGGTGGTATGTACCAGAGGGCACCTACTGACCTACTGGGTAGCACAGAAGGCAGAGAATTAGAACCTCCAAGTGGGGACAACTCACTCGGAGATACTGGCAGGCATTTCCTTACTTCACTCTGAGGTTGTTGTGGCTAGGTAATGGAGCTGCTTCTCAGATTCTGTGAGAATCTCAGGAGCTTCCCAGCTGTCTCTGACAAAAGGTAGCTGCTCTCTTGCTAAGAAAGCTTCCTATCCACAATTCCCATGTCCATCTTTTTCTTACTGCCCTATGATGTTATCCCTAACCCCTCAGACCATGTGAACTTTTCAGATTAGAGGAGCCACATCTACCCACTTAGATTCTGTGACTGAGACCTGTGAGCTGAACTGACTAAAGCATAACAGAAGAAAAGGCATACAGGTTTAGTTTGATGTTAATATTTTTATGTGGCTTGGGAAACCTCACAGGAAGAAGTGCAAGCCCAGAAGAAGTGGTTGGACCCAGGGACTTGTATACCATTTTAACAAAGAGTAATAAATTGTGGAGATGTGACAAGAGGAAGGAAAATGGGTGGTAAACTGTGGGGAAATGAGTATAAAATAGATGAAGGATACTAATTTCTTTCATTAGTAAGGTTCTTGTAGTCAAGTTTGTGTAGAAGAATATCTGCATCAACTCTGTCTCCAGTGATAAGAATGTTTTCATATTCTTGGTACATGGAGGAAACATTTCTCATGGGAAATTATAATGGGGTTTAGGGACAAAGGGGGAGGGCAGAGAGACCTTCTTCATCTACTGGTTTTCAATTGCCTTCAGCTCAATGGTGTCAGTGTGCCAAAGTGATATGTTTTGGGGTGGTATGTGTTCTGATTCTCTTCAGTGGAAACATTTTTAGCAATTATCTTTGGTAAGATTGATGAGGGGCATATGGCATTCCATCATTGAATTTTTATACATAAGTATACAACTGCACAAAATTGACAAAACCTAGCCTTCATGGGCCACTAGTTTTCATGGGGGATAAAGAAAATAAACAAGAATAAAAACCCAGTAATTTTATAATGCTAGTGCTATGAAGTAAATAAAATAATGATATGTTCCAGAGGTGGCTGTCTAACACAGTGGCTATAGTCACTTGTAGATATATTGAGCACTTGATATGTGGTTCATCAAAATTAATAATTTTTAAAAATCTTTGATTACATGCTGAAATGATCATTATTAGGGATATGTGAACTTCTATAAAATATTATTAAAATTAATTTGGCCTGTTTCTTTTTTAAAAAATATGGCTTCTAGAAAATTCCAAACACATGTAGCTTGCATTATATTTCTATTGGACAGCATTGTGCAGAAGAGCAAAGTTTGGGAGCAGGCAGGTCTTTGGGAAGACTTCCCTAAAGGGATGGCACTTTAAACTAAGGCCTGAGAAATAAGGGGAACAAGAAGATTCAAAAGATGTGGGAAAAGAGCTTTGAGGAACCCACAGAAAAATCATAGGGGCAGAATTTCAGTTATATTGTAGAGAAAGGCTAAGATGAGGTGGGGCAGGTAGGGTAGACAGGGGCTAGATCAGGAAGAAAACTGTAAGGAGTTTGGATTTTATTTGATGTGTCATTGGCATCATTTTAAAAGCCAAAGAATTGGCTAGTTTTATGTAAATCAGCAGATCTACAACTATGTGACTGACAACTATGACAGTGTGACAACTATGGTTGGAGATAGAAGGACTACACTACTCTTAGAAAAAAAGGCTTCTGAGGAGAGCATTATTGTTATATGAAAGTCTAGCCATGATGCTCCTATCTGAATCTAGCTATCAGACCTGACTCTTTTCCCCTTCTACTCACAAAGTTTAGGCAGTGGAGACCCCGTGGCTGTCCGTGTTCTGGAGCTGTTTGTTAAACTTTGCTTCTGTTTCTTTCTTCCCTCCCCTCCACAGTGTTTTGAACCAGATGCACTATTACTAATAGCTGGAGGAGACTTTGAAGATCAGCTTAGAGAAGAGGTGGTCCAGAGAGTTTCTCTTCTCCTCCTCTATTACATTATTCACCAGGAAGAGATCTGTTCTTCAAAGCTCAACATGAGTAATAAAGAGTATAAATTTTACCTACACAGCCTCCTGAGCCTCAGGAAAGATGAAGACTCCTATTTCCTTTCACAGAATGAGACAGAAGATATCTTGGCTTTCACCAGGCAGCACTTTGACACATCCAGAAGCCAGGTAACAAGGACACAGTTGCTAACCAGCTCTGCTGCTAAGATGCTGTCTCAGATTCTTACTCACTTATTTATTATATTTAGTCAGTTAATGATTCCCAAGTCTTTCAAAAACTTCTAAGAAAGATAAGTATTTATGGTTTTTTTTTTTATCCACGGTATGGTAAGTGACATAATTTAGAAATCTGTGTCTAAAAGTGGAAATGTGATGACTAATCAGAAGATGAATTTTAGCCAGAAAGCCAGTGGCTGGTAGGCAGGCAGGACAGGTGACAGGCAGCTCTATCTCCTGATTTCCCTTGAGCACTCCAGTGACTCAGGGTTTTTAATTAGTCTGCAAGGACTGAACTGTAGTAGTGGAGGGTACTGTGTCTACCTACCCTGCCACTGGCCAGGGAAGAAGGCAGAAACAGTTTGAGAGAGATGAATTCATTGTTAATTATTTTCCCAAGGAAGCATCTTGCCAAAGGCATTATTCATGATGGTCAGCATGAGCCCTTTTATGGTTTTTGATTACATGGTCTGCATGTGCACAGGGTCTGTTCAGAGGCCTCTCATCTCTCCCAGCTCCCATTAGAAAATGGGCACCTGCTCATTTGCTTCCTCATTACTATTCTAGCAAAAGCTGAACTTTTAATGGTGTTTATGGTTTCTGGGATGCAGTGGAAAGTTTCAGAAGGTAAAGATTCTGAACATCAAGGTTTTTGAAGCCACTTTTCCTAGCAGAATTAATTGAGGACCTGTACCACTTTGAGAAATTGTTGAAAATATTTTTTCTCTCTTGAATTATTCATTGATTATGTGTAGACATTTTGGTTCTCGGTCTCAATGGTTACTTCTAGTAACCTAAAGGTATCTGAAAAGTCATGCTTTGACTTAATGGCCAGCAGACATATCGTCCAGTTTGCTGTAAATCTGTTTAGTTTCTCTTGTCATTAGTGGAACTAATAGAGAGGCTGTTTACAAGGCACTTTGCAAACATCACAAAAGTAGCTTTAATCATGTAAATATCAAAATTGGGCCATAATCTTGTTTCTAGTTTCATTTTAGGAAAAATTTCCTTGAGAGAAATATCAATTTTCTGTTTAATAAGGACGTGTTCCTGGGTATCATGGCTTTATTATAACATCTATACAACACAAGATGTGTTTGAATTAGCCACTAGGAATTTAGTCATCCTCCCCATTACTATCTTGTGATGCAAATTAAACGGAAGCCCAGTGCTTAAAACCAGATGGTGTGTATGTGTCTAGGTTTATGGTTATTATACATGTACTGCCAATACCCGGGATTCGGAGTGTTTGTGAGATCAGACATTCTCAGAATAGGGTAAAATAATGTTACATGGACAACTTTTAGTCAACAGGAACTGAGCTCCTGCTCTCATAGCCTTTGCCAAGTCTTAGACTAGTGATCTCCTAGAGATAGCACTGTTCCTAGTTCCTGGAACTAGGAACACCCAGGACCTCCTTAGAAGTCAGTCGATGTAGACTTTTGCAGAAGGCTGTTGACACCTCACTGCAGCTGCCACTCTTTCTGACCTGATGATGTGAGGTCATGGTAGAGGGTGCTGAACAGGAGACCCTCCACTAGCATCCCCAGGTCTTGATCTGCACAGGACATGGCTTCTATGAATCAAACCAGTAACAGCTATTTCAGGTGAACCTCACTCATTCCCCCAAAGAAACACCTCTACTCCATAGGGTCCTACTGCAGCCAACCCTGCTAAAGAACAGAACACAAACATCATTCCATCTCTTCATTCCAAACAACTTTGTCTCCCATCTTCCTAACTCAATCCCTTAGTGTTCCACCTCTTCTTTTACTGTTTGTGATTTCTTGGTAGAGGAATAGGGATGTGCACAGAGCTCTCTGCCAGCCCTGCCCCTTGCATAGAGAATGGGCATTCTTGGCCACACCCTAAACACTTCAAGGATGAAGTCAATGGCACCTTATAAGGGTTACTATTTTACAACCTCTATGAAAAATTCATACTTCTGTGAGGTTCATGTTATCTAGTATTTAACTTATTTTCATGCAAAGAACTTCTTGCTATGTCTCCAAATCTATCAAGATTTTGATAACTGACTCTCAGCCTTCCATTCTGCTGTCTACCATAGCAATGAATATGCTCCTGCCAATTTCACCAATTACGGACTTAGAAAGGAATAAATCCAATGTATACATTTTATTCCTTTTCCAGGTCACGAGAATTGAACATTGACACAACAACGTTCTTTTCATTTCTCTTTTGATGAACACATTCTCTTCTTCATATGTAGTGGGCCTAGCATAGTGCCAGGCACACAGCAGGCATTCAATTAATGTTTAAACCAATGAATGGGAATACTAGCAGAATATAAGACAAAATTCTAGCTTTTAGATATTTATATTTTAGTTGAGGAAAATTGACATATACATATAAAAAAGGCCCCATGTCATTTGTCCTATGTCCTGTAAGAGTTCAAAGAACCTAACCCTGTGCTGACTTTTGATTTGTAATAATTTCACATTGAACTTGAGACTAAGGGCTGATGTGAAAGTAAGTGGAAGTGCCCTGTGATGGTTAAGGCAGCAGGGCTGGTGTGAAGTCAAGGTAGGGAATGTAGACTTGAAAGTCATTGGCCTGCAGGCTGTATTGGAAGGTGGGAGAGATTTTACCAGTTGAGAGGATGCTATAAGAGCAGGAGATAGTCTTGGGAAAAGCACATCCATGAGAGGATAATGAGAAAGGCTAGATAACTGAGGACTGGTGGAGAGGGGCTTAGAACACTGAGTATCATGGCAGATAAAAGAAGTGAGTATTGGGCTGGGGATACAGCTCAGTTGGTAGAGTGCTTGCCTTGCATGCACAAGGCCCTGGGTTCAATCCCCAGCACCCCCCCCCCAAAAAAAAAAAAGTAGAAGAAGGGGGTATTTCCAAATACAGTTGCATCTAAGACAACTTTGTGAGATGACAGTCATTTCCACATACAATTCAATCTTCCTTCAGATGGACTATTCTTTATCCTTAGGGAAAATCCTAGAGATCATTTTAAAGTATTCAAAATAATTTTAGAAGTTAAAAGTTTTTTTCTTTACTTTGTGTGTGATTTCAGTGTATGGGAACTAAAATGCTACAGAAAAAATCTGGAATCCAGAGCAGTGACGGTGCGGATGAAAATACACTTCCCAGATTGGCAGCGACAATCATTGCTTTGTCCCTCCAGGGTGTTTGTCTGGGACGAAGAAACTTGCCAGCCCCAGACTATTTTACAGAATATATTTTCAGTTTCTTGAATAGTACAAATACTCTCCACTTATCAGGTAAGGAGGATTTTCATGAATTCAACTTCCAAGTCACAGCTTCCAAAATGATTGTGCCAAAAACAAAGGCTGGAGCATTTCAATGACTGAATTTGTTCAGTTATATTTTAAGTTCCATTTTATTTTGGCATGTAGTAAGAGGGCTCAGGTGGCCTTTCAAGGCAAATGTGTTAGGATGTCTGTGTGGTGATGAGGTGTAAACATAGATTTGGCGCCTTTCTGTGTTGATGGAAATTGTGATATCAAGCCAAAGGGAAGGATTTTAGGTCTGCCATAAGGCCTAAATATACCCTCCTCTCCTAATTGGCACATAATACTGAGGCTGTAGCTCAGTGGTAGAGCATTTGCCTACCATGTGTGAGGCACTGGGTTCGATTCTCAGCACCGCATATAAATAAATAAATGTCCATCAACAACTAACTAACTAAATAAATAAATTAAAAAACTGGGCCAGAGGTGGCACAGTGTTCTGTAGAATGATGAAAGAATAATTCACTAATTCAGGGTTCAAGGTGGTCCACAACCAGTTTGCTTATCATCATATATGTGAACCATTTAATTTTCAATAAAAATAATGTGAATTTTCTGTCTTTGCTGAATTCCTTTTTGGGGCTCTTAGATGAAACGGGATGTCATGAAGGAAATCAGAATTTTTTTGCACATTTCTTTGTACTGGGTAAGACAGATGACAGATGACTCAAAAGTGGTATGACTTATTTTTCAAATCTGCATTAAGATGGATAGAGAGAGATTTTTAAAAAGCATCTCATTGCCAATATCACAAGTGAAAAATAATGATTTCTTAATATCATAAAAATGCTCATTCACATTTACCTGACTTTTAAAAATGTTTTTTTAAAAAAATCAGGATCCAAAAAAGGTTCATAAAATGCAAATTGTTGGTAGATCTCCTAAATAACCTTAATAGGTGTATCTGGTTCTCCTTCTTCATCTTGTCTATTTTGTTGCAAATTTTTTGAGGAGGGGAAAATGAAAAGGTCCATCTGGATTTTGCTTATTGCATTCTTAGTTTTTTAACATGCATTTATGTTTGTTACACTTCATATGTTGGTTGTTATATGTGAAGGCCTTATTAGTTTTCAGTTGTTATTTGGGAATACTATTTTATAATTGATGTCCTCCTCCAAGAAACATATAACATTTGGTTGTCTCTTTACTGAGAAATTGGAAGCTATTGATGATCATTGCCTACATGGGTTATTTAGGGCTTGCAAAATGGTAATCTTCTAATTTTCTCATTCTTGCTTTATTCATTGGTGTGATAATTCTACACTAGAATAACTTCCTCTTATCTTTATTTCATTTGTTGAAGTTCCTAGAGGAACTTCAAGTTTTTAAAGGAAATTGATATTTTAATTGACCAGTTTTCAAATAGTAACACATTCCTTTGCATCTTTCAAAGAACAGGGAGGTTTTTAATAAATATTATAATGTCATATCTCTCATTTGTCATTATTATCCTAATTGGTGCTTAGATTGTTCCCTCCTTAACCTGTGAAAACTTATTTAAGTTGATTTTAAGTTCTTTTGACAAATATCATTAAAATATTTTACATCTCCTTTGCTTTCCAAAATAACAAGATATTTCAGGCTTATCCTACACATTTCCTGCCCAGACCTGGAATCAGTCATTTTCTCAAATATTTTTTATTTTTATACAATTAAGTAATCAAACTTGTATTTTGAGAGATAGTTAAGAAAGCTTTCCCCTATACCCAGGTTATACAAGTCACTCATGTTTTCTTCCAGTATTTGTATGTTTTCATTTCTGATATAGTTTAGATTATTTCTGGGTATATTGTAAAGAATAGATTCAGTTTAATTTTTCTATGCAACTCTCCAGTTTTTCTTCTACCTCTTATGCATTATTTCCTCAACTGACTGATAAAATTCTTTCATATGAAACAATAAAGCTCTGAACACAGTGGAGCCTGTTTCTGGATTTTTCTAGTCTCGTTGCATTTGCCAACTTGTCTATTCATGTTCTAATACCATATGATTTTATTTATAACAGTTTTCCAGTATACGTAAGTACCTAGAACAGTTAGCCTTCTCCATAGTTCTTTCCAAGATTTTCCTAGTTTGTTTATTTATTCTAATGAATACCATCAAATTGTCAAGCTCCAAGAAAAAACTTAAGGTAATTTTATTTTGATAGAAAAAAATATGTATATATAGAAAAATATATATAAATATATTGCATATAAATATAATTATATGAATTATGTATATAAAATTACTTAAAGAGAAATGGTGTTTATAAAGTGTTGCACCTTTATATCCAAGAACAAAAAATGTCTTTCCATTTATTCTTGTCTACATGTATATTTTTGTGGAGTGTTTTTTTTATTTTCCTCACACAGGTTTTAGGAGTTTCTTCTTATTTTATATATAGGCATCTAACTTTCTTTTTGGATCTCTTTAAGTGACGTTTTCTTTAATTATATCTTCTAGTTTATCTTTATTTTATTTTTTTTTAATATTTATTTTTTAGTTTTTCGGCGGACACTACATCTTTGTTCACAACATCTTTGTTTGTATGTGGTGCTTAGGATCGAACCCGGGTCGCACGCATGCCAGGCGAGCGCGCTACCGCTTGAGCCACATCCCCAGCCCCCTAGTTTATCTTTAGATATATGGTGATTTTTTTCCCCTCTGCCTTCTCAAATATGTTATTGAGTGCCTTTATGAATTTTTAGATATATGAAAGCCATGATTTTGTAGATTAATTTTGTAACCTACTCTGATTATTTTCTTTTTACATCAATTTTTAGATGATATAATTATATCATCTTCAGAAAGATATAATTTTTTCCCTAAGTCTTGTATTTCTATTTGTTTCTTGTGGAATTGCACTGGTTAATAATTCCAATATAATACTAAATAATAGTGGGAGTGATTAGTACTCTTATTATATTGCTGATTTTAAAGGAAAAGCCTACAGTATTTCCTCATTAAATCTAGATATTCTACTGTTATGTAAAACTAACTAGAACAAATTTAAAATATTTAGAGAACAAATGAGCAAAGTATATTTATAAAGTCTTAAAATTAACTTGCATTCTTATGTTCTAGTACTCCTCATTTTTCCAGTAGACTTGAACAAAATGAAAAATTTAAACAAAAGGTACATTTGGGTCATTTCTTTTAAGCTTAAAGGACTTAATTTTATATTTCTTATAAGGCAGATCTGCTAGCAATGAATTCTCTCATTCATTGTTTACCTGGAATATATATTTTTTTAAGAGAGAGAGAGAGAGAGAGAGAGAGAGAATTTTTTAAATATTTATTTTTTAGTTTTCGGTGGACACAACATCTTTATTTTTTATTTTTTGGTGCTAAGGATAGAACCCAGCGCCCTGCACATGCCAGGCAAGCATGCTACCGCTTGATCCACATCTCCAGCCCACCTGGAATTTTTTCTCACCTTTATTTCGAAGGATTATTTTGCTGGCTATATGGTTCTTAAATAACATTTTTTCTCTCTCTCTCTCTGATTATACCATCCCACTACTTTCAAATCTCTATTGTTCTGATGGAAAGTCAGTGGTTAACTATAGTGATGCTCCCTCACATGTGATGAGTCCTTTTCACTTTTTGCTTTCAAGAATTTGTCTTTGACATTCAACAACTTAATTATAATGCGTTTGGGTGTGGATCTTTTTGTGTTTATCCTCCCTGGTGTTTGATGAGGTTTTTGAACACAGTAGATTTTTACATCGCTTGGAAAGTTTGGGGGTATTATTTTGTCCAGTAGATTATTTTTCCTCTTTGTCCTCTCTTTCAGTGACTTCCAATACATAGGTTTGATGTGCTTCTTGTTTCCTAGCTCTCTGAGACTTCTTGTTCTTCCTCTGTTTTTACTTTCTATTCTTCAAAATGGATTGTTTCTGTTAATTTATCTTTTTGTTTAGTGATTCGTAATGGATTCAATTTTTAATTGGTACATTTTAGTTATATGTAAAAGTGGGATTCATTGTGATATGTGTATACATGTGCATGACATAATTTGGTTAATTTCATTCTGCTGTTCCTCCTTTCTCCATCCTTCTTCCCCCTAATTCCCCTTCCTTTACTCCACTGATTCCCATTATATTGTCATAAGACCCTTCCCCCTTTAAAAAATTCATTATTTCTCTCTGACTTCCACAGGTAAGAGAAAGATTCAACACGATTTTCAGTGTCTAGCTTATTTCACTTTTTTGGTGATTTTCACCCTCTGCCTTCTCAAATATGTTATTGAGTGCCTTTAGTGAATTTTTTGTTATTATGTCTTCCTTCTCCAGAATTTCTTTTATTTAATTTTTATTTCCTTATTGAAAATTGCAATTAGTTGATTTGTTGTTTCATACTTTCCTTTTATTCTTTAAGTATGTTTTCCTTTAGTTCCTTAAACATGCTTACACTAGCTGCTTTGAAGAATTTTTTAGAACCAACATCTGGGAATACTCAGTGATGTATTTGTTAACTACTCTCTTTCCTGAACATGGGTCACATTTTCCCTTTTCTCTGCAAGTCTCATGATTTTTTTTGTTCAAAACTAATAATTTAAAATAAAATTCTAGTTTGTAGTTTTTCTACCATTGATGATAACCTTTAGGAGAATTCCAAAGACACTTTAGTAACAAGTAAAAGGATGTATAAATCCATATGAATTTACAATTACATTTAATTTTTCTCTGTATAAGTATTTTTTGAAGCCTAGAGTAATATTGAGGGAAACAAAATTGCAATCTATAAACTTACATCCATTCCATAATACCATTAGAAAACAAGATCTAGTTTGTCTCAGTAATCTCATCTCCCTTTCATTTATTTTCTCTTTTCTTCGTATCCACAGAGGAAGATACTTTGATTGACTTGGCTACATTAAAGTGGTAGTCAATCTACTAAGGATGTGGATTGACTCAAGGAAATACATTTCCTAAAAACTAGGCCAATATCTTCTTTAATTTATACATTTGTATTAAAGGAAAATATTTTATTCAATGGAAGACATTTTCATTGGTTGTGTTGCCCATTTATCATCTCTAATGTATTAAAATGATGGGGATACCTTTAAAAGATTGGTTCAGCCTCAGGTAGATCCTGAGAGAGAATCCATGTTCATGTGAGGTATAAATGTTATGTCTTTGTTCAGAATGAAACCTTGATTTTTCAATAGAACAAAAATTTATCTTGTAAAATGTCTATGCTGTGGCCATGTGAAATTATAATTATTCTGAACAAGCTCTGCCTATTCTATGTAACACCCAATTTTCTATGAAATTTCTAGAACTAAACCAACTCCTCCATACTCTCTGGACCAAAACCACCTGTATCAAAAAGGATAAAATCCATCAACTTCAAAGGAAACAAAACAACATAACAACCCATGATTGGGGCTACTCTAATCTATCTGTGTCTGTGGACAAAGGTTCAGATGATGGTCCAATTTCCTGGGATCAGGTATTTCCATTATTTCTCTCATATAATCATTTGCTATTGATAAAGAAAGTCAGCAGTGAGAGTTCTATCAGAGTTGTAGAAAATTCAAGAAGAGAATGTATATTTTCTTAAAAGTAAAAATGATCTATTTCCATAGCATGCTCTTACTTTTTTTTTTTCTATAAGCAGATTCCTGTAGAAATAAAAACAAGGCCAGGATATTTAGGAGAACGAAATATATTGCTCTATTCTTCTTTGGGTCACTATCAAATCCATATAAAATTAATTCAGAAAATATATGGTGAATATTTAGTATGTACCAATCACCATCCGAGGCATGATGAAACCAGTGCTGAACAAATATAGGCACAGCATTTAAGGACAATACAAGGCAGAGGAGGATATATATATACATTGCATAAATAACTACAATAGTGCATAAATAAATTTAGCTTAGATTAGGAAGCAATTGTTTTAGGTTGTGAACAGCATGACATTATTTATATAGTAGATGGTACTGAAGATTTTTTAAAAAAGTGATAGGTGAGCCTACAAATATATCTATATCTGTATTTCCTAAAGTTCTGTTTCAGAGAATATTCACTGGTATACCTTAGCTTCTCTTTAGGTGCTATGATCAAACAAGTTGGGAAAATATACTGGAAATGCACATTTAACTGTGGCTTGTAAAGGAGTCTGGAGAGGTTCATTTTAGACAAATTAATCTTACTGAACCCAACTTTGATCAGAGAATCTTTCTCTGCCCTACTCATTTAAAATCTTCAGAAATTAGTATTCTGTGATAAGGGCTTGCATTTATTAAATACTTATTATGCATCAGACACTGTGTTATTTTGACCTGCATTAGTTCATTAATTACTAGAATAACTATATGTGTTAGTTTGTATTATTGCATCCTGTAAATGAGCTATGGAGCTAATAAGCAATTGCTTGAGTTTATAGAAACTAAGGATATATATCCTCAGTTTTATATATATACATATATAAATATGTATATATATATGATACATATGATAAATAATATAGGTAATATTCTGTGTTCTTAACAACTATGCTATTATTTGGGAAATTGTCTAGGAAATTGGACCTACTATATTATTAATTGGGAAATGATTTAAATATGTTAAAAATATTTTTGTTCTTTATATCCTAAATGAGCAATACTCCTATGAAATACAATCTGTATCTTAAAAAGACAAGAGTACCTACTTTATATTCCTAATAAAGAATGTTGTGTTCACAAGTTGTGAATGCATGATTGGGCAATATCAAATATTTTTGCTACTATGTATTTTAAAAAGTTAATTTCTGTTACCTATGTCATGTATAAAATATATCAATCAGAATTGATTCTTTCAAACTTATGATTATTATATTCAATGGAAGGTGACAAAATGACCTCCAGATTACTCTTGTAAAGTGTCCTTAAGTGCATCTCCAGGGCCATATTTCAGGAAGGGAATAAATTTGATTTATGGAAACCTCATTTGCATAAGGAACAAAGGTTATTTCTTAAAATTTAGGCTTTCTTATTTAAGGCATGCATTTTTAAAAACAGTAACAATTATTGTTTGTGCTAACTATGCAAAATAAATGAAATAATCTTTTCTACAATTATTCTTCTCTGTATCAATATGTCACTTTTTTGTGACTCTTGATGGGACCCTAACATGGAATACCAGTTCTGAGGACCCTGCTTATATTATTTAGAACAACATTCTCCAAGTCTTGTTCCTGGATCAGAAACATTATTATCACCAAGGAACTTGTGAGAAATGCATATTCTCAGGCCCCACCCCAGAATTTATTGAGTCAGCAATCCTGAGAGTGGAGCCCAAAACTCTGTCTTATAATAAGCCCTCCAAGTGATTATCAAAAGTGAAAATTAGACACTATTATTTTAGAATACATTTGAAAACTTTTATAGAAACCTGATGACATCAACACAAGAGTCAGCACATACTGAGGTTTTATGCAAAGGAATAAAGGTGTTTTAAAGATTACTGGCCAGATATTATAAATTTTCATTCTATTCTTCAACATTTTATAGAATGTAATGAGTCACCATTAAGACATTCTTATTAGCGATTTCAGAAGAAATTTAAAATAATAATGACTTACAGAGCAACAGCAAGTAAAGATCAAGGGCACAGAACTTATAATAGAATAAAACTGTTTTCTCTGAGAAGGTATTCTAAAACTAGAAACTATTCAATTTCTTGACAATGAACTGGGAAAAAATGCATGATATTCTGTTCCTGTTTACCTCTCTGCTCTTACTTACCAGCTAGACATTTTCCCATAAGATATTTATGATGGATATTTTATCATCAAAAGTGTGTTACTAATTTCCCTTTCTTTTTGGCAGTATTTTTAATGATGAGATAATCATATTCCATCTGTAACAAATGGTTCAAAAAAGAATATTGTCTTTGGTACACATTATCTTATTTAAGGGAGGAATACCACATATTTAACTTTCAGGTGATACTTTTCAGAGTAGGAACCTTTTTGGAATTCTTGCACAATTCCTTTCTAAGAAACGCCTTCCTCACTCCTATCACATGGATAGAACTGACCTACTAGACAGATAACTGACCCAAGAGAGCCCCCAGATGACTTTCCTGAACTAATCAATTCTTTCTCAGGTTTTGCAGATCAATCCATTCTTGGATTCCTGACTGAATGTCACTTTAGAATGGGAATTTATATAGCCTCATGATTATCAAATGAGAGGACAAAGTGTAGAAGGAAATAGATACCCACAGAAGAAAACAGAAAGGAAAAAATGCTTTGTGTACATGTGTGCACACGCATACACATCTTTGGTTCAGATTTCCAGTTTGGGCTGCAGCTTCTGATGAGGTGTGGCCTTCAGTGCCTGGATTCTCTGAGATCCTTTGTGTCCTTCCACTGTGGTCTCCTCCTGATTTTCTGATTTGTGTGGTTTGTGTTCCATGCAAACAAAAGCTTCCTAATCAAGAAAAATCTTTTTTTTATCTATGGAATCATCACCAGAAGATTTTTTGTATCTGTATGGTTGAAAAAGAGTGTGTCATTATTTTTTAATTAAAAACTTGTCTTTGTTTAAAATCTCAAAAATTCTACAGCATAGCAAAGCGGATTAGCCTCATAAAGCACTGACTTTTCTAAAAACACTTTAGTCATTGAAACTAAAGATCACAAATATATTGCATTCTTTCAATAAAAGTCATTCATTTGTGCTTGTGAAAATATGCCATTTTCATTCACATATTAAAATATTTACATTGTAATCTTTGATGTATACAAACATCAGCTTTTATTTTGGAGATGAAAAGATGCCTTCTGGCAATTTTTAAGAGACTTGTTGCCTTTGTTGTTTATTTATAAGTTTTACTTAATAAACATGCCTATGTAATATGGAAAATTACAAACATTAAGATAAAAAATAAAACAATAGAAAACAACAATTCCTACTGTTCTGTGGAACGGTGATGTCAAGTAACACAGGTAGTCATATCATTGAGTGTATGTGTACCAGCTAGTTGACACAGAATTCACTTTTAAAATTTGTAACCTTACTTTTATCACTTTTGGAAATACAGGTTGCCAAAACAGGCTTATTAAATCAGGGAGTTATTAAAGATAAAGACCTCATTACCACAAAGTTCCTGTTTATCCTGTGAAGTCTTAGCTACATTGAAAACCAACAAAACACAGGCATCAAGCCTTATTTTGACTGCTGGTTCTACCACCATGCAACACATTGTAAAAAACAGTGTATCTTTTCAGGAAAGAAAAAAGTGTGCAGGAAATATTAAACAAGATTCAGAATGAAAGCAAGGTGCTACAGACTTTGATCTCAGATTTAAAAATAATCCTGGGAGGTTCACAAAAAGTTAATGAACAAAGAGCAGCAGGGAAACGTATAGGAATGGCTTCATCTGTCCATTGTCGACATTCTGTCTAGTTTGGTTCCTCGAGGATGGCAATTGGTGGCACATCTGGCTCAAAACTGAGGTTAGTAACAGCATGTTTTCCCCATACAGACTTGCTTCTCTGCTCAGCAGCTGGTGGAGATATTTCTACAGAATAGATTTTCGTCCATTTCTAAGGAGGACTTTAAGCAGCTGAGTCCAGGGATCATTCAGCAGCTACTCAGCTGCTCCTGCCACCTGCCCACTGACCAGCCAGCAAAACTTCTACCCACCACGCTGGAGAGTAAGTTCTGGTTCTTCATTGGGAAGCTGATCAGCCCAATGCATATAATAATAATAGTGAGCACAGAGTATTTATGATGTACCAGGTGCTATTCTGAACATCCCATATTTACCAACTCATTTAATCCTCCCAATAATGTGAGGAGATAGGGCTGTTAGTATACTTATTTTACAAATGAGGAAACTGAGGCACTGAGATGTTCTGTGACATACTCAAGGACACACAGATGGTAAATGATGAAGTTGGCATTTAAACTCGGGCAAACTGGCCCCAGCGTCCATGTGTATAGCAATGCTGCTTTTCAATAAATATTTCATATTCTGTACACAATTTATGTAAACTGATTTTGTCCTCCATATTTGACTCAAATCATAGATCAATTGAAAAACCCACAGTTAATAAATGACATGGTCTAAGAGAAAACACATTAGTATTGGAATCTGAAGTGCAGAATTGAGTCATCTCTTTTCATCCCCAGCCACCCCATGGCCTTAAGCATATTTCTCCTTCCACAAAGCTGTCTCTTTTCTGCACAGTGGAAAAGCAGTGAGATCCTAAAGTGGTTCCCAGCCTTTCACACATCATGGAACATGTACAAAATGAAGGCACACGGGGGGATAAACCAAAGATGTGCTTGGATGGAGGTGACCAATCCAGTGGGATACCAGCCTCCCAGATATAGTTGACAGCCATATGAAGTAAAGGCATAGACACTTACCCTCACAAGAAGTGAAGCCATGAACACTTACAGGAAGTGAAAGCACGGATACTTGCACTCACAGGAAATGACCGAATCAACGTTTGTGTCCTGTTGAGTCACTATTGTAGGCAAGCTCTCTCACAGACTTCACAGGGTATCCATGAGGTTCCGAGGTGTTCATGAATACAAAAATGTGTTCAGTGAACCTAAATCACTGTACATGTAAGACCCTCCCCCAATGGTGGCTTAAGAATATCCATGACATATAGTGGAGATGTGACAGTTAACCAATGCAACTCTAAAGTACTGCCATTCATCTGAGGACCTTATATGTATTTTTTTTCAGAACCGCAGTCTTTTTCTTTGAGCTAGCTTGCAATGCCCATCATAGCTAAAGTGTTTAGCAACTCACCTCTGAGTCACAGTGCATTTTAAGGTAGCAAGTGGCTCATTTGAAGACTTTATGGGAACAAAAGTCTGCCAGGCCTAAAGACCAGAGCCTCCATGTTCACTTGGAGGGGAAAAAAAATATGTGTTCTTAAAAGTGAGCAGCTAAATAATTTAGTATCTGGTGGGCAGTGATGGTCACAATGGTTGAGGACAGGACTGTGGCACCTGTGAGCTTCCATGGGCATGTTCATATTCCCACCACTCAGCAGAGTGCCTGGTACATTCAAGCTTGGGAAAGGGTTTTCAAACTCAAGATCTACAATGAAAGGTTTATTCCCCTTTCTGACAAACTTCTAAACCCTTCTAGGGAATAGTCTTCCTGAGAAAAATCTCCACAAATAACACACACTAAAGAGCCTAGAAAAACACCACTGTCCTCAATTTAAAAATTTGCATTATGTGATTAAAGGAAAAGAGTTGTGTTGGTCTTTGGAAATTATAGAATATAAGATGTTGCATTAAAGACAGAAGGACCCAGGGATACATCATTATTAAGGAAATATTGTTTGCTAGGCTGTAACTAAATCCCTAAGTGCCACCTTTCATTGTTTCTGGGAAAGTGGATTATACCCATGTTTAAATCAAATTACAGACCTAGTTAAAGTAGCTGCTCAGGAATAGCTAAGAATTTAATAGAGAGGTCAAGGTCTATTGTAATGATGGAAAATGCTTAGAACATTCTGAAAGCCATCTGACTCCAATCAAGACACCATGGCACCTATATAGAGACCTGGAGTAAATTAGCAGAGTCCTTTGACCATAAATTCTGAGATTTTTATGGTTTTCAGGTTGCCCTTCCCAAACGAGAGCAGGCAAAATCTGACTCACAGAGGATCTGAAAAGATTTGTAATATATGTTATGGGACATTCATTCTCTTCCTCATCACAACTACCCACAGGACAAAGAAGAGTATAACAGGAAAAGAGAGAACTTGAAAGTTTTCCCTTTGCCTGTGAAATGTCATATCCTCACTTGTCCTTGGGAGTTCTTGACATTTTATGATCTTATGTAGCTACTATAAAAATGTGACAGCCTGGAATTTTATTGGAAATTTAGGTACCCAAATTAAAATTCAAATAGTTTTATGTAGAAATGGTAACAATGATATTCCCATATAGAATCTATATAGAATCTATCTGGGGAGGAATGAGAGATGAAACTTTGTTGGAAATCTTTAGAGATGTTTTAACATAGGTATTCCTACTAAATTAGAATGAAATAAAACCTCTTCATTCCAACCACTTCAATTTTTTAAAGTTTTTTTTTTTTCTTTTTTCAGTGCTGGGTATAGAACGTTGGGCCTCACACATGCCAGGCATGTACTTTACCACTAAGCCACATTCCCCAGCCTTTTTTGAATTAAAAAAATTAAATTGTAGTAAAATTTACACAAAATAAAATCTACCATCTCATTTTTTTTTATTTTTTATTTTTTTATTTTTTTGGTGCTTGGGATCGAACCTAAGACCTCATGCATGCTAATGCATGCTAATTATTTGTTTTACCATTGAGCTACAGCCACAACCCCCTTAACCATTTTTCATTGTGCAGTTCAAAAATGTCAAATATATTCACATTCATGTGCAACAGCTCTCTAGTACATTTTTCATGTTGCAAAATAGAAACTCTACAACTATTGAAGAGTAAGTTTCCATCTCCCCTAATCATCTTATGAAATGTCCATTATCAATGAAGGCAATTAATGTGGGGGAATCAATGTCTGAAATTTTCATGCTTCATCTGAGTTCTCTATGAATTCCATTTCAATATTAGACCCCTTAACAATTCAGAAGGTAGAATCAACAAAGTTCCTTCTAAAATCCTAAGCCCATTTCCATGTCACCAGTTGTACCATTAATATCATCTAACGTGAAAGGTGAACCTTCCAGAAAAACATAAATATAGTTAAAAAGTACATTTTCTATTATAACAATCTTTTTTTGTTGTTCCTTTAAAACTACTTTTTAGTTGTTGATGGATCTTTATTTTATTTATTTGTATGTGGTGCTAAGAATAGAACCCAGTGCGTCACACATGCTAGGCAAGTGCTCTTCCACTGAGCTACACTCCAGCCCCTATATTATAACAATTTTTGAAAGTACATTTTCTTTAAAAGTGCATAGCACTTTAAGTATTAGGATAGCTGAATTGTTTGTTTTCAGCCAAATGAAAATGATTCTATGAATAACTCTTTATCTCCAAGTCATTTATTTGTTTCTGAAAGACACTTCTATCTTAATGTTTGTTCTTCCTTCTCCTCCTCTATTTCTTCACCTTCACATATATTTGTTTTTGTTTGAATAATCTTATAAATTTTACATTTTTGCTTTTCTGAATACTAAAAAAATACTTGGAACCCTGGAGCCATGGTATAAATTTTAGGGGTTATGAAATTATTGCAGTAATCAAAAATGCAGACTGTTCAACTTTATATTATCATCCATTCACATTTTTTTTTTGCTGTTTTCACCAACAAATCATTCATTTTAGTTATTGAGAATAAGAAGTACTTTCAACATTGCATGCAATTTTGAGAATTTTCGGGAAGAAGTTTACATACTTATTTTGTACAGAAATGGATCTATCATGGGGCCAAACTATAGGCTCCCCTATAACATCTCTTCCTTGCCTTTTAAAGATTTAAAATCTATTAGATGGAACTCATTGCTAGTGTCTGTCAATGGATGTTTTAGTTTTAAGAAAGAGACATTAATTTCTTTGTGGTTTGGAAGTAAACTAGGTTTGTGATTGCCTCTTTGATTTTTGTTAAAGAGTAGTCAGAATAACTTCAAAGCAAGGGGGTTAAGTGAAAGTCTTGTCTTAGTTCTTTCTATGAGAATACCATAGAGTGGGGGACTTATAAATGATAGAAAGTAAGATCTGGAGATTCAGAAATCCAAGATCAAGGTGCCGGTAGAGTGGCCTTTGGTGAGAGGTCTACTTGCTGGTGTCTTCTCACTAAGTCTCCATCTGGTGGAAGAAAGACTGATCTCTTTAGCACCTCGTAAGGGCTATAGTCCCATTCTCAGGGCAGAGCCCTCATGACCTAATCACTCCCCAAAGGCTCCACCCCCTAATATGGTCTCCTTGGGTGTTAGGTTTGGAAGGGAGCAAAGCTTCAGAGTAGTCCATTGTTTTCCATAAGAATTAAAACTTTCCCCATATTTTAGTTAGCTATTTTGCTGCTGTGACTAAAGCATCTGACCAGAACAATTTTAGGGGAGGAAAAGTTTGTTTGAGTGCTACGGTTTCAGAGGTATTAGTCCATAGAAGGTCAGCTTCATTCCTTGGGGATCTAAATGATGCTGGCATCATGGCAAGGGTGGTGGAGGGAAGCAGCTCACATCATGGTGATCAGCAAGCAGAGAGAGAAATCTGTTCACCAGATACAAATATATACCCAAAGCCATGCTCTAATTCCCACCTCCTCCATCCACACCCTACCACTTCAGTTACCACTCAGTTAATCCGTATCAGGGGATTAAATCACGGATTGGGTTAAGGCTCTTGTAACCCAAACATTTCTTCTCTGGACCTTCTTGCATTGTCTTGCATGTGAGCTTTTGGGGGACACCTCACATCCAAACCATAACACCCTATATGTAACTTATATCACAATCCACATCCCTATCCATTGTCATTGTAAGAGATTATTCTGGCACTTTGAGTAGCTGAAACATGACTGAACAACAACGAGTACTGACAGTCTTTGTGATCTCCTTTCACTTAGAATATGGCTACAGCACAGTGGCTGTGACACTTCTCACACTGGGCTCCATGCTTGGGACAGTACTGGTCCTTTTCCACAACTGTGAAGAGAACTACAACCTTATTTTACAGCTGTTTGTGGGTTTGGCTGTTGGGACACTCTCAGGGGATGCCCTGCTCCACCTTATCCCTCAGGTAATCTGTTTCTTTCCATTTCAGATGGAATGTGTTGAATTTCTCTTTAAATTTAACAACTGGAGGCATTTACACATAATTTTACAGTGGCTTCAAAGAATAAATACAGTGGCCAGTATTTTCCTTGGAAAGAAATAGTATTTGTCCTAAGCTTCTCAGCACTTTTGGAGGAAAAGAGATGACCAGACATTAAGTTCACCTCATATTATTCTTATTTTTTGAAAGAAAAAAAGAAAAGGTGATCAGATCTAAATTCCTATTAAGAAAGATTCCATAAGGCAATATCCATTGTCTAAAAGTAGAAAAAAAAAATGGACCGTGAGATGTTATGCTGGTTTTTCTCCAGTTGCCTGTGCTCATTCAGATCCATAGCCCATTTTTCTCTCTCTTCTACCCCAAAAGGTTGCATCTCCTCAGCTCTCATGCAGGCTGGAATTTTGTTTGGGTCAAGCCCATGGGAAGTCCAAGATAGATAGGAGGAGAAAGAGGCAGGTGCATTTCTTCACAGCTCCCTCCTAGCATGGGCATGTGCTCCAAAAGTAGCAGATGAGCCTTCCTTCTTACCACAAATGGCGGGTCTCCTCCAGGGCTCCACGTCTTGCTGAGTTTCAGTAACAGCACTTCCTCCCTTTGCCCTTTCCACCTGAAGGTGGTATTGAGTTTCTGGGGTTGCTTTTCCCTTGTTTGGTACCTTGGACCCTGCTCACAGCTCAGTGTAGCGACCATTATTAACTTCTCTTTCATGAAGCCCTCAGAATGGATTTCTCATTCTTTCTTGAATACGGGTGTCTGGATTTGTCTTAAGTAAAATGTAAGCACCAAGAAGCTAGCCCTTTGTTGAAGTAATCTGAGGGTTTCTATTTATCAGAAATGAAAACTCTTAGACCCAAGCTATTAAAAGAGCTATCTATTCCCTCTGAAATCTCTTCATATGGATGGAGACCATAGACCAATGATCCTGCCCTTTGCAAATCCCAAGATGTTAAAAATTTTCCACAAGCCTCTGGCACTTTTCTACGGGGCCACTCTTGTTGCTTAGAGGCTCAATAATAATGTGATGTTTGGAAAATCGCAAAGTGAGCATTGGAGAAATAAAACAAACCATTATTAGTTTTAATTTCCTCCATAATCTAATTTTCTGGAAATATTTCAGGGCTCGTTATTGGCTTGAGGCGGTGGCCAGGGCCTTTTTCTAGGTCACCACAGTGGTTACAGAGTTGTTTATTGCCTGAGAGCCTGAAAAGCCAAAAAGGATCTGAAGGCTGCCTGGGTCTTTAGAGGGGAGCACACAACTAGCTACAAGCAGCAGGGGTGGACGTGGGGGTGGACAGGATATGATACAGAGGTGAACTTAAAAGTTACCCCGATTTCCTGAAATTTAGAGGGCAGTTTCTTTGCTTGAAAAAAGAGCTGAAAACAAGAATTATTAGAAAGAAGAGGAAAGACACAGTACAAATGTGGTGGAAAGTTAGAAAAACCAGTGTCCTGAATGTGACCCAGGTTTTCAAAAATCTGTGTAGAGCTGGGTGCAGTGGCACATGCCTGTAAATCCCAGTGGCTTGGGAGGCTGAGAAAGGAGGATCGCAAGTTCAAAGCCAGCCTCAGCAATAGCGAGGTGCTGAGCAACTTTGTGAGACCCTGTCTCTAAATAAAATATAAAATAGAGCTGGGGATGTGGCTCAGTGGTTGAGTGCCCTTGAGTTCAATCCTTGGTAAACTGTGTGGAAATGAGACAAATGTCATTTTTGTAATTTTCCTTTTTATTGGCTAAATTTATTCAACTCAAAGATCTACGTTCTATCCTGAAATTAAGGTGTTTTCTTCTGCTTTATTTTGTGATACTGCAATACTCACTAGCAAGTGAAATAATAGTAATTACAAGTATTAGGTTGATATAGTTAACCTTCTTACCAAAATAAAAACAGAATAACATATTTGGTTTTTTTAGTCATATCTATATACTCAAAGTATGCATATAGGTACACAATCATACTCACACATATACATACGTACATCCCATGGGCATTGGTATCCACAGGATAAGTTCCAGGATTCCAAAGGGTGTCACAATCAAAGAAAGCAAGGGTATAGTATGTGCATATATCCTATACATTCAAAGGTGTTGTATGTGCATATATGCTATGCATATCCTCCCTAAACTTGAAATAATCTCTGGACTATTTACAATATCTAACACAATGTAAATGCAAAGCAAACAATTATTACACTGTGTTATTAAAAGGATAATGACAAGAATAAAAGTCTGTACTTGTTTAATAAAAATGCAGGATTTTTTTCCCTGAATATTTTCAATATGCAAAGGATGCAGATGTAGATCATGGATATGGAGGGCCATCTGTACATGTGTACATGCACAAATACCGTCATTCACAAATACCGACATTTCTGAACATACATACAGAAATCTATACATAATTTATTTTTTCTTTCTTTAATTTAGTGGTCAGGAACATTCTAAATCTGGAAACCACTAAGCTATTTACAAATTTTATACTCTTGGGAAAGAAATATGGTATGTAAGGACTTATAACAAGAAATTCTGGGGGCTGTGGCTGTGGCTCAGTGGTAGAGCACTTGCCTAGCATGTGTGAGGAACTGGGTTTGATCCTCAGCACTACATAAAAATAAATAAGTAAAATGAAAGTATTGTGCCCATCTGCAACTAAAATAATTTAAAAAAAAGAAATTATGAAGTCAATCAATGGATTGAAAGAACTGATAGAAAGAGTCAACCAGAGCAAAGTTCTTATTCTCAATTCATTTCATGGTTTTTGTTTGTTTGTTTTGTTTGTCCCAGAGGGCTGACAGTATTGCTGATCATATAGCATATAAGTGGAGGAATGTCTTCCAAATGGATTTCTTACATATCTAAGTATTTATTAAAACTTTACTTTAGTTGCATTGGGTTAGGGGGGAATAAAACTCCAGTGAAATATATCCTTCTGTGTTCTGGGTATAAGTCATATTGATATGGAATATTGATGTACCAACAGATAGAACTACTGAAGGGAAAAAAGCAGCCACAAGACAGAGAATGTATAAAAATTTAGGCCACTTGCCAAAATAAAACTGAGGTGACATTTTTATTCATCAGGATAAGCTATTCAAAGATCTCCTTTATTTTCTACTGTATACATTTTATTTGACCCTCTTTAAATCATGTGGTAGAAATAGTCACGTATCTAAAACAAATAGCAAACCGAGTTTTGAATATTTCAATCATCATCGGATCCCTAGACTGAAAGTTTAATATATTAAACCACTGTGCTTACTATTTGGTACCAAAGTCATCAAAAATTCTTTTCTTTCCCTTTTTTTTTTTTTTTTTTTTTTTTTGGTTTTTGGTTTAGATAGGCAGGAAGACACTGAGTTTGGACATTATTTCCATGAAAGCAAAGGTCATATTTGGAAACTGTTGGGTCTAATTGGAGGCATCCATGGATTTTTCTTGATAGAAAAATGTTTTATTCTTCTTGTGTCACCAAATGTCAAGGTAAATTTTAAGTTTTATTTATCCCTTTTTCCAAGATTTTTATATCATTTGTTTGAAAGGTCCTTATGCAGAAGTATTCATATCTTCATGAAGTTGTCTATGCAAGGGATTCTTCAAGGAATCATTCTAACAAGTTTCTCCTAATTTTTTTAAACATTTATTGCTGGTCAGTTAATATACTTGCTACAACTGTCTATGTAATCTTCATGTTTGGTACAAAACAGGACACTATTTCATGTCTGGGGAAAGTGGCTCAGGACTGGAGTTGTGGCTCAGTGGTGGAGCGCTTGCCTGGCATGCATGAGACCTTGGGTTTGATACTCAGCACTGCATATACAAAAATAAAATAAAAGATCCATTGACAACTAAAAATATTTTCTCAAAATAAAACAACAACAACAAAAAAAGATTTGGCTCAAAGTTCTAGCTACTAATCAGGATTTAGGATGTCTTTCTTATCCATAAACAGATAACAAACAAATGAAAACTTTCAAAGTTCACAAAATCACCAGCCATCATCTATTTTAAGGGCTTTTAAAATGATACAAAACCAGAAGCTCAGGAATGTGATTTGTAGCAAATATTTTTCCAGCTTGAGTAATTTCTTTCATTGTGCTTTGATAATCATCTTCATTTTTAATGAAATAAAAGCAATGTGGCTTATTTGTGAATTATTTTTCTTTTGCTCTTACACAATGTTGTATAAGAAAAATAAGTTACCTGTTTGGTGGGATGGTTAAAAAGGGTCAATTTTTATGAAGGACTCTAAAAAATTGAAGCCAGTTTTCATGATAAAGTCCTCAGGTTCTTCAGTCCTGTGGTTTTTCCATTTATTTCCTGAACTTTACCTCTCCACATAACAACTGGCAACTTAGATTTAATTCCCAGGGCAAACATGACTACCTTTTAAATATCAGCACTGGTTTATTACCATTCCTAAGTTTGTACAAAGTTATTTTTATGCATCAAAATATAAAATGGCTTTATGGATGAATGGAGGGATAGGTGGGCAGATCTGTGATAAAATACATTATAGGAAGATGTTAATGGTAGGATCCAAGAAGTGGGTTATCTGTATGTGCCCACAGAGCTTTTCTGTATGTTTGAAACTTTTCATTAATAAATGGATGTCCAACCAATAAAAAAATTAAAATAAATAAATAAATAAATGGATGTCAAGGATTCAAACAGATTTCAAATCAAGTCTTATAAACATTTTGTTTCAATGAGGCAGGATTTTCTTTGGCCTGGGGCACAAGCTAGGACACTACATTAATTCAAAAATTATGAATTACAGCTGCAATCATAGCAATTACCAAAACATTTAGGAAATTAGCCTCCACAAATGAAGTTCTAATCTTAAAAAGTACAAATAGCAGCTACAGATCTCCATTTACCTACAGTAGATTAGCATTCATGGACTGGGAAAGCTGAACTAAAATATCTGTCTATCTCTACTGAATGATTAGATTAGATGTTTAACCAGTTTGGAAATTGGTAAAAGAAATTCTGAACAACTAATCTGTAGTTCATTTAGATTGTCCTTAAGCTCGTCAGGAAACTTAAAATGAGTTTCAACAATACAATTTCAAAAAACTTTTTATTGCTGGGCACAGTGGCTTGAGAGGCTGAGACAGGAGGATCGAAAGTTCAAAGCCAGCCTCAGCAACAGCAAGGTGCTAAGCAACTCAGTGAGACCCTTTCTCTAAATAAAATACAAAATAGGGATGGGGATATGGCTGATTGGTTCAGTATCCCTGAGTTCAATCCCCATTACCAAAAAAAGAAAAAAAGAAAAAGAAAAAGAAACACAAATATTTATAATGCTCTAATTGAAGAATGCCTTACTGGAGTCATTATTTTGTAATTACGGGGTACAATACAGTGGATGATTATCATTTTGCTATCTCTATCAGAAAGCGCTAAAATTAAATTTTGTTTAAATATAATTTTAGTGACAATATAAAAACTACCACCATTCAAACTTCTGTTACTCTCAACTAGACATTTTAAAAATTGTATTCTTAAAGCATTCTGAGCATGCACGATTGTTGCAGAGAAGAACTGTGCTTCTCTAAGATGAGACATTTTAGCAAATATCCATCATGAGGACATATTCCTGGTGTTCTATTTATGATACCCAACACTCTGAGAACCCTGAAATTGACACGGTTGCACCTGTGTTCCTCTATCTTCCACACTAATTTTAAACCATCTTTATCCAGCAGGGCCTGTCATTGGCTAATGGGCATGTGGGACATTCCCACCATCTTGCACTGAACCCTGAATTAAGTGACCAATCAGGAAGAGGCAAATCTCCTTCAACTATCCAGTTGGTAGGTTACTGATCTAAATGAAACATTCTACTAATGTGATTGCCTTCTTTCCTTTATTCCTCATTAAACAGATGAAAATCAGTAGGGTAGACAGAACAGAATCCACTTCTGATTTGCCTATTCTTCATCATGATAGATACATAAAAATCTGCCAAGCACTTGAAGCTGTTTTAAAGATCAAAAAGCCCTGTCTGCAGACTTAAGTGATTGCTATCTTTACCACTTTGTATCACTTACTTATGGATCAGATGGATACAACAATCAACTTTTAAATTTTGTTTACAAGTTTTCATGAACCAGTTGAGCTTTAGATTTTCCATTTTGTATGCTCCTAGCTACTTCTAGGTGGATGCATACAAATGTTGAACAAGGGATAAGTGTATCTAGGGCTAGGGCATTTATTTTATCATGCAGAAGAGAATTGATTATGTCCAATGAGATGTTCCATAGTGGGGGCCTTTGATTCCACTGAATTCTCAACAACAAAATCTTCCATGTTAATTTTTAAAATACAATTCTACTGAGGTTCAAAAAAATATTATCCTTCCACTTAAAGAAACAAGTATAGGGACAGGAGAAATATGAAAGTGTAACACTTAACTCGTCTCTTATAACCCTAGCTTTGACATAGGGGGTTTATAGTTCAAGGATACCTGAGTAGAGATAAGTTAGCTATTCACGAGAGATTAACATAGCAAAATAGAAATCTGATAATAGATTGCAGGTCTAATGCCAACTTAGAGACATTGACATAAAAATGTTCCTTTAGATGATTTTGAAAATTGTATTCTATTTATTGCTTAGGTATTTTAAATGTGTTTTGAAAAAACAATAGTTTCAGGCTGCAATTAGTTTTGAAATCACTTTACTGCAGGTTTTATTTCTTCTGTTTCACTGAAGAGCCCACAACCTCAAGACACGTGTAAGCAAACCTCTGAAGCTAACTTTGTTTTCAACTCTTTGAACACTCGGGTCACTAACATATTCACTGTTACTTTCATTATTTAAGCCACAAGATCAATCTTCTATTGCAAAATAGAAATCATGTGAACTTTTAAAACTGTTTCATGGGTTCCAATTCCCATTTTTTCAGGAAAGTATAGCTTGAAGGAGGAAAACCCTCAATTTTTTCCCAACCAACGAGGAACCTTGAACATTTGCCCCTGATTTCCATTGCATAGTATGATGATATACACCTTTTTTTTGGGGGGGGGGGGTTCAGGGAGAGTATTGTGGGATTAATATTTGGACCCCTTTCTTTTAGTAGAACTATATAACATTTTTCTTCTGGTCAGGCTTTGATATAAAATATTCACATTACTTTTATGTTTCTAGATCTGCCCAATTTCAGGCAAGAGACCTGAAACTCTAAATTGTTATCTTTCAGGTCCTACTCACTTCTAAACCTTCCTTCTCCAAAAAAAATAGCCTATCTATACACACCTGGTGTTACTGTGCCACGTGAACTTCATTTACTTTCCCTTTCACATGACAAAAGACATTTATTTCTTACATTAAATTTGTATCAAAATGTCCCTAATTGGGGAGTGATAGAGTTATGTGAATATACTTCTTAAAGGACACTCTGTCTCATTGGAGGAAAGCATTCTTTTCACAAAATAGATGAAGAATCTGAGACCCAGAAAGGGTATCCTACAAAAATCAAACTGACTCAGTCTCTGAAATAAAATCAGGTAATTATAACTTATACCCTAGAAAGTAATTTCAAAATCTCCTCTGTCATGTATGAAAGAATGAAAAATTTTAATAATCTATTTGTTTATGTAAGTCTGCAGATCTATTTTCCAGATTGACAAGACTCTTTGACTAGAAAAACAATAATAATTTTAAAAAAGAACATTATACTGCAGTGGATGAAATAAAGTGTTAGGTTTGCAAGCTTTTCTTTTCCCTCCAGAAGATGCCATCTGCTTACAGAGCAGAAGAGGAATCCTAGATCTACTATCCACTCTCACAGGAGATGTGACAAATGAGGGCAAGGATCATTTTTTTCCCTACTGATTTTGGGTTTCATAAAAGCTTGCATAATTTAAAAGTCTGAATTACAGACTGTCTCTTGGTAGCCTACCGCCATCCACGGAAGGTACCGATCTGTGTAAGAGAGCTATTTTTATCAAAATGTAGGTAATGCAAAAAGTATGCCTTATTCACATTGTTCAATTTTAGATTACATATTGTCTATGAAACCAAGTAGTTTTAACATCTACCTAGAGTATCAAAATATCTTTTAAAACTTAATATAACTCTTCAGATGTTAATGTTTCAGCCAAATGTGACTGTTACCCGGTTTTCACCAGTTATTTTTAAATTTTCAATAGAAAGGTCCAGAAGATTTACACTCTGCTGAGAGTCCCATAGACAGTATGACAGCCTCCCACAGAAAATGTGAGTACCAATTTAAAACAAAAAAACAGGTCTGGGGTTGTGGCTCAGTGGCAGAGTGCTGGCTTAGCACATGTGAGGCACTGGGTTCGAGTCTCAGCACCACATAAAAAACAAATAAAATAAAGTATTGTGTCTATCTACAACTAAAAAAATAAATTAAAAAAAAACCCCTAACAACTCATCTTTAAATGTAGTAAGTGCCATAGAAAAAGACTGTATCTGTTTAAAAATAAAATGGCAAAATCATATAATTTCATATTGGATATCTAGTTCATTATTAAAAACTTAGCAATAAGATCTTCAATAAAAACCCATTCTCATCTGTCTCCCAAACATACTACACATTTATAACAACTTGACTCCATTATTTTAAATGACATTTTCCCCCTTTGCCTAGATTGAGAGGTCCTAAAATCTTCAGTGTATACACATGCATGGTTATCAGGACTCCTTTTAAATTATGTCTCTATGATGTTTGAGACTTTTAATTCACTCTGAAATGTGGAGACTTCCTTGATTTTTTATCTTCTTTCAGAGTCGAATAAAAGTTCATCACAAATGTCTGTCTTGTCATACTGCCATTAGGACAGCAGAGTTCAAATCTGGTGATGTTTCATTATTCATAACTTTTTCTGTAACTCATTTGTTTCATCAAGCTTTCAATCGACCTTTTTTCTTTCCATTTCACCATTTCTCTATTTAATTTCCCAATTGTAGATAGAACTTTATGCCTCTTTGCTATGTTTTTGAATACGTCTTTGAACTTCATTGTTTTTGGTTTTGGTTTTCATTAGTTGCTTTTGAATCTTGGCCCAATTTTTTCCCATTTATGTTACTGTTTTGTGACACAAACTTCCTAATGTTTTAATGTTAACCGGTTATGATTAGTTATTCCCATTGTACCACAATAAGTTAGTCAATCAGTGACAAAAAACAGCTAGGAAGAACTGAACTCTTCTTATAGGCCAAGCACAATGTTAAACACTTGATGCAGACTATCTTGTTCAATTCTCCCACAATTTAGATACAAATAAATATTATCTAAATTATACAAACGAAGAAAACAATTGTTAGAGAGGTTAACTGATTGCCCACAATAGCTAGTCAACTCCAGCACTGGGGAACTAAAAAAAAAAAAATGCTAATATACCAACAATTTCTTTGTGATTATTTATTCATGCATGCAGCCACGGATCCTCTCACATTCTTTTATTCATTCAAGAAGTGTTTGAAGATATGTGGTGCTATAGGCACTGTGTGTGCAGTGGAGAACAAAATAAGAAGGTTCCTTATCCATGGTCTGTTACATAGTTTGGAATAGAAATACTAATAAGAGCAAATACTTATTAGCATTATAACCATGATTGTTGTAGCAATGGCTATTCAAAGTGCTTTATATATATTAACTCATATAATTGATGTGTTTCTTTTATTCAAAATATATAATTACATTTGCTGTCAAGTTCTACTTATAAGACACTGTTAATAATTTTTTCCTTACTGAATTTTTAGTTCCAGGATTAATTTAGAATATGTGGCACTTAGTAGGTCCATGGTCAGCATTTTTTTGTTGTTGTTGTTTTCTTTTTTGAAAGAAAGGAAGAGGAAAGTAGCTGTGTCAAGTCAAAATTAGGACCAGGGAATGGAAACTAGATTGGGGACACTGATGTTCTTAATCAAATATTTTGTAGTTTGCATATCTTCCCATTTCAGATATCAAGCTTGGCCTTCAGAATGAATAGTGAACAAATCCAAATTAGAATATGCCACTGCCCGTCTGCCAAGAAAACACTGAATTAGCTTCAAACATTTGATTACTTGTTTCATATTACCTCATTGGTAGAACTCAGCTTGTGTTTCAAAAGACAGGATGTGAAAATCCTATCCACAGTCTGATTTAAATAAACAACAAAAAAATCATATTAGTTCCAGCTCATGTTTCACCATGGAAAACCTCAAATATATAGAAAATGTTAACACAATATGACACTGCCAGGTACATGAGCAAAGGTAAAATATTATAGATTTTTCTCTAATGAGTACATTAAATTACCACCGGATGCTTATCTTCCTCTAAATGTTGTTTAAATTATCTTAAAGAATAGTCTTCTTTGTGGCTTACATGCAAATGTGCATATTTGCCTTGTGGCTGGTTACATATCCATATTCTGACATTTAGAAACCCATAATCAGAGATAATAAAATAACAGACAGCAGAAATAGGCCATACTGTTTCCTAGCAGAGTGTATATTGGCTAAAAAATCTTTCATTTGAATATATTCTATTAATATCAAAACTACATGTAAGCACAGGGAAATCACAATTTTATTTGCCTGATGCAATGTGGTTAGATATATCACTTTAAAATTTGGAACATTATTTATCTCAAAGAAGAGCATTATCTCTGAAAATTGGTAGGAACCGCTAAGTGACTAGTACCATTATTGAACTCTGAGAGCTTCTGGAGAATGCTTATAAGAGCTGGCTGAATTTATTAATGCAATATTTTCTAGTGCATTTATGACTACTGCCTGAAATTTGCCCACTTGTCATAAAGAATAAAATGAGTTAATAAACCACAAGGAGTATGGAAGCGATATTTGTAAATAAGTATAATATTTAGAAGTGAGATGATGGGACACCTTTGCATCACAGGCAATACAATCTCCTGGCTAAAAATCTGGCCTATGAATGCTGTTTATTGAAGCCACTTATTTTATGGTGTGAGCTATACAATATGTCAAATAACATTCCCTAAATAAAATAACAAACCATATTATAATAGTCCCTCTTGATCTCAGACCATGTATGGGCTGAAACCACAAGATAACTTCTTTTTGTATGAGCGATGTACAATTATTCAAATGATGTTTTCAGTTCTGTTAGAACTGAAAACATCATTTGAATAATTGTACAACTGCTTACACCTGTTGCACACTATGCGTTCAGCTGAATAATTACTAAAAATTTAGATTATGACAGTTGGTGAATGCATGTTCCCATCAAGTGTTATGCCTGGACATTTTACTATCAGAGCAAGTGTTACCCTCAAAATACTTTTTGTGTTTGTTAGTAATTCAATTCTTGTAATTGGGTTATAACCTAAAATGTAGGATTTTCAAAGCAGAAATCTGTGTATTAAAAACTTGAACCCAATTTTGGTCTAAATCATTTTATCTACTTTCTCTTAATCTCTCATAGAATCCCATGAAAACTAAAACTTCTCTTTATTTTGTTCAACATCCAAGTAGAGGTATTGAAAGTTATTTTGTAGAAAGACAAATATATTGAATCATTGTTTCAAAGATAATTGACAGCCAGAAGAGTTGGTTGTGGCTCTGTTACAGTCACAGTTGGGGAGTGAATTAAGTACTTTAGGATGGTCATTAGCACCAATCAGAAAAGATAACAGATGATCACAGGATGGCAGAACATACACTGCAGCAGATTATCACAAGGACCATCAGATTCAGAGGAACTGTTTTGGAGAATTGAGTCCCTTTTAATAACATTCTGCAGGGAGGTTTGTCTTGGTCCATTTGAGTTGCTATAACAAGCTACTATAGACAAGATGGTTTATAAACAACAGAAGTTTCTATCTCACCATTCTGGAACCCGAATGATCAAGATCAAATGAATTCAGCAAAGTGGCAGGATATAAAATCAACACGCATAAATCAAAGGCATTTCTGTATATCAGCGACAAAACTTCTGAAACGGAAATGAGGAAAAACACTCCATTCACAATATCCTCAAAAAAAATAAAATACTTGGGAATCAACCTAACAGAAGAGGTGAAAGATTTATACAATGAAAACTACAAAACCCTAAAAAGAGAAGTAGAAGAAGATCTTAGAAGATGGAAAAATATACCCTGTTCATGGATAGGCAGAACTAACATCATCAAAATGGCGATATTACCAAAAGTTCTCTATAGGTTTAATGCAATGCCAATCAAAATCCCAACGGCATTTCTTGTAGAAATGGATAAAGCAATCATGAAATTCATATGGAAAAATAAAAGACCCAGAATAGCAAAAGCAATTCTAAGCAGGAAGTGAGAATCAGGCGGTATAGCGATACCAGACTTCAAACTATATTACAGAGCAATAGTAACAAAAACAGCATGGTACTGGTACCAAAACAGGCGGGTGGACCAATGGTACAGAATAGAGGACACAGAGACTAATCCACAAAGCTACAACTATCTTGTATTTGATAAAGGAGCTAAAAGCATGCAATGGAGGGAGGATAGCATCTTTAACAAATGGTGCTGGGAAAACTGGAAATCCATATGCAACAAAATGAAACTGAATCCCCTCCTCTCGCCATGCACAAAAGTTAACTCAAAGTGGATCAAGGAGCTTGGTATCAAATCAGAGACTCTGCGTCTGATAGAAGAAAAAGTTGGCTCCGATCTACATATTGTAGGGTTGGGCTCCAAATTCCTTAATAGGACACCCATAGCACAAAAGTTGATAACAAGAATCAACAAATGGGACTTACTTAAACTGAAAAGTTTTCTCTCAGCAAGAGAAACAATAAAAGAGGTAAATAGGGAGCCTACATCATGGGAACAAATTTTTACTCCTCACACTTCAGATAGAGCCCTAATATCCAGAGTATACAAAGAACTCAAAAAATTAAAAAATAAGAAAACAAATAACCCAATCAACAAATGGGCCAAGGACCTGAACAGACACTTCTCAGAGGAGGACATACAATCAATCAACAAGTACATGAAAAAATGCTCACCATCTCTAGCAGTCAGAGAAATGCAAATCAAAACCACCCTAAGATACCATCTCACTCCAGTAAGATTGGCAGCCATTATGAAGTCAAACAACAACAAGTGCTGGAGAGGATGTGGGGAAAAGGGTACTCTTGTACATTGCTGGTGGGACTGCAAACTGGTGCAGCCAATCTGGAAAGCAATATGGAGATTCCTGGGAAATGGAACCACCATTTGACCCAGCTATTGCCCTTCTTGGACTATTCCCTGAAGACCTTAAAAGAGCGTACTACAGGGATACTGCTACATCAATGTTCATAGCAGCACAATTCACAATTGCTAGACTGTGGAACCAACCCAGATGCCCTTCAATAGATGAATGGATAAAAAAATGTGGCATTTATACACCATGGAGTATTACGCAGCACTAAAAAATGACAAAATCATAGAATTTGCAGGGAAATGGATGGCACTAGAGCAGATTATGCTTAGTGAAGCTAGCCAATCCCTAAAAAACAAATACCAAATGTCTTCTTTGATATAATGAGAGCAACTAAGAACAGAGCAGGGAGGAAGAGCAGGAAGAAAAGATTAACATTAAACAGATACATGAGGTGGGATGGAAAGGGAGAGAAAAGGGAAATTGCATGGTAATGGAGGGAGACCCTCATTGTTATACAAAATTACATATAAGAGGTTGTGAGGGGAATGGGAAAATAAACAAGGAGAGAAATGAATTACAGTGGATGGGGTAGAGAGAGAAGATGGGAGGGGAGGGAGGGGGGATAGTAGAGGACAGGAAAGGTAGCAGAATACAACAGTTACTAATAGGGCATTATGTATAAATGTGGATGTGTAACCGATGTGATTCTGCAATCTGTATTTGGGGTAAAATTGGGAGTTCATAACCAACTTGAATCTAATGTATGAAATATGATATGTCAAGAGCTTTATAATGTTTTGAACAACCAATAAAAAAAATAAATTAAAAAAAAAAAGATCAAGATGTCACAAAGGCAAAGACCTCCTTTTTGGTTCCCAGATGGTACCTTCTCAGTGATTCTTCATGTGGCAGAAAGACCAAGGGAGCTATCTGCCATCGCTTTTATAAGGGCACAAATTCCATATATGGAAACTCTGTGCTCATCACCTAATCACCTCTCAAAGGCTCCATCTCCTAATACCATCACATTAGGAGAATAGTTTTCAACATATGAATTTGGTGGGGGTGGGGGTGGGGACACAAGCATTCTGAATATAGCAAAGTTCTCAAGTTATTTTTAAATACAAAAGACAAATAGGAAGGTCATCAGTAGTATTGGGGGAGGTTACAACATTGTTTTTGTTTCTTTTGGCATAGCTGGACAGGTGATAAAATAATTATTACCAGCATAGAATTTATCTCATTATTTATCAGACCAGCAGGGAAAACAGTGACCACTTTAAGTGTATTGGCTACCATGTTTGCATCTCTAGTCCTGATTTATTTTGAAAGCTGAGACAGAGTAGGGTTATTTAACTAGATGCAGTGTAAAAATGTCAAGGGCAGATGGGAAAACTGGTCAGATTTGAAGGATATCATGAAATATGTAGTACTCTGCTAATGCTTCTCATGCCTTTATTTGGTTCCATAGGCAAAACCATTAGCTTGTTAGCCATAATGATTCTGGTTGGGGACAGCCTGCATAATTTTGCAGATGGCTTAGTGCTAGGAGCAGCTTTCTCCTCTTCATCTGAGTCGGGAGTGACCACAACAATTGCTATCTTGTGCCACGAAATTCCACACGAGATGGGTAAGTCTTACAATAGAATCACTCTTTTGCTAATTGTTGAGAAAGGTCCTAATATATTTCTAGCCAGGGTTTACTTAGATTCTTTTTCCGACATATAATTGAAAGATGAATACTTTATGTTTATGATTTATTTAAACCATAAAAGAAGGAAGGCACAAAAAAATTCCTATACCTTGAGATGAAACTCAAGTCGATTCCTTTCTGATCTTTCCCAAGTCCAGAAATGACGATGGATTCCAGAGAATTCTGTATGAGAGAGTCATTCAGAGAACTCTCATTTTATAGAACTTTGGCAAGGATTTTAAATTCTGCATGCTAAATGTGGGAAAATATTAAGAGAGTGAACTTTACCCATTATGTTAGAAATCAGGCCAATGATATAAAATAACATTTAAATTGAAACCAACCCATGGTTTTACCAACTTGATTTAAACAAAATGTTTAAATCCAAGCATAAAATTGAAATGACAGGCATATGGTAGCAGATACATATAAGACTTTTTTTCTGGATAATCTTAATAGCCCTGTAATTCAAGTCCTGCCTCCCAGGAACCAAGATGGGATAGAATAAAGATTTCTGAAGCAGACCCAGAAATAGTAGAGATGGATCTGTGTCTGTGAATGCACACACACAATGTGCCTCAGGGACATGACTCTTCACAGTCATTCTTTCTGCTTCTACTTTCAGCCTACCTGGCCCCTTGGACCACCCCTTGCTCAAGGGTATTCATTGATCAAAGTCCTGTTACTGACTGGTTGTTAACTCATCTTTCTTGGAGTAGTTTATCCTGAGCTTATTTATGTATATCTGATCTAGAAACTGTACCCTACAGCCCTATGTGTAGCTACTGTGATAGTGGCTGATCCTTGATCCAAAAATCACAGGGCAGTGGGACAGTCTGCAGCAGACCCACAAAATTACTTCAAGACGTATTCATGGGACCCATTATGTAATGGAACTAGGAAGTAGAGTGCCAGGCTGTCTCTTTGTTTGATGTTCATCTCTTCTAATCCCTGAGATTAAGAAATAGATACTCTGAGATTTACTAATAGATCATTCTTTATTTAGAGGACAGGGATGTATGGAAGAAGGTTGCTTTTCTGTACTTATTAAGGCAGCAAAATGATTTGTTCTCTTGACTTGTAATGAATTTTTTAAAAATCTCTTAACTGGTTTTATCTTTCCCAACAGCAGTTTCTGCATCAGTAAGTCATTGAAGCCCATATAATGTCATGATTTCCCCTAGCAAATTGCCAGGCAAAAATATTTAGAAACCCTGGGATACTATTATAAACCCTGAGTGACTCTATTTTGCATTATCTAAGTTGAAAATGCATGGGTTATCAGGAACTGAAGAATATATCATAGACCTCTCTGTATAGGCTCTATTTAGGAGAAGCAAAGGAATAGACTTTCACACTGCAGCTCTCTATCAGCAGAATGAACTTGCTGAAAATCCTATAGAAATACAGGACAACACTTTTACTAACTTATCAGTCAACTTTACAAACGAAATTGGTTCCAGCTTCTGAAATTAGAAACAACCGAATAGCACATTACTTTTCAGGCATCACTAGTTAAATGATAATTATACTCTTTTTTCCCCTTAAACTTCAGGAGACTTTGCTGTGCTTTTAAGCTCTGGACTCTCTATTAAGACTGCCATTCTGATGAATTTTATAAGTGCTCTAACTGCCTTCGTAGGACTATACATTGGCCTCTCAGTGTCCACTGATCCATGTGTCCAAGACTGGATCTTAACAGTCACTGCTGGAATGTTCTTGTATTTATCCCTGGTGGAAATGGTAAGCTTTTTTGGATTTTCTGTTTTGTTTTGTAAACACTGAAAATGTAAAAGCATTTAAAAAAGTACATGCCTGTAATCTCAGCAACTCAGAAGGCTGAGGTAGGAGGATTGCAAGTTTGAGGCCAGCCTCTGGTAACTTAGTGAGATCCTGTCTCAAAATTTAAAAAAGATTTTAAAAGTCTGGGGATATAGTTTAGTGATGGAGTGCCCCTGGATTCAATCCCCAGTATGAGAGAGAGAGTGGGGGAAGCAATAAGCAATTAAGATGAAAGGTTAAATAGGTACAAGATAAGAAGAATATAGATAATAATATATGTAAATGACTAAGTAAATATTCTGTGCAATCCAATAAGGTAAATTGTAGTAAAAAATAACATAATTTCAGGTACAGAAAATATTGACATTCTATTAGTGGCCTAAGTGTAAAGAAAGAAATGTTTATAATTATCAAAAAGTGGCTTATTCTGTTCCAGTATTGCATCTTGTATATAATGCCTGGACCCCCAATTGACAAATGAAGTGTTTTATTAAATAACCATTTTACTCATATAATGCAAAATAGTTCTATGGAATTTATCATCAATGGTTGTTTGATTTAATCAACCACTTTATTTTAAAAATAAAAATTCATCTTTGAGTTTAACTGCTAAAGAAATGAGAAATGAGAAATATTATGATAGCATTTGTTCTATAAAATGCAACATGTTTCCTCAAGAGGTCCTCACTGACACTAACGACAACTCAATTATCATGTTTCATTCTCTATAGTCTTATAAAGGATTTGATTCTGGGAAATTTTACACTTTTATTTTAATTATATTTTTCCCCTCTTAAATTCTGGTCCCTATAAGATACCAGTCTATTTTTTCAGATTGCCCTCTGTTGGACTTCAAAATATTTTCAGGGTAAAGATCCTAATGATTATCCCTTCTGATGGCTTGGACTAAGGCAGATAAAAATTCAACAAATTGGCAAAAGAAGTATTGAAGACTGAAAATCAATCTAAATTGGAGTAAATTATGTCATTATATGTTGAGAGGATAAAGCAAACTAAGCAATGCTGCAAGTAATATGTCTAATAGATCAGACAAGCAGAATTCAACTATTGCCCCAAGAGTGAATAAAAGGAAATGTTTCATGAAGAAAAAAATTATGCAATCAGGAGCCTGGGCTGATGCAATCAGAATGGTACATTCTAGAAGACTGTAGAAAGGGAACTCTCAGAGTAAACACCATCATTTTAAACTCCTATGTATTTCTTTTCCTCAATTCTTATGAAATTCAAATAGCTGAGATCATTACCAAATGTACACCCATATTTAGAAATGTCATCATTTGGGATGCTCAGAAAAATTTTATTAATTTTGATAATGAAGCTAAAAGTGGAGTAGATTCAACCGCCCGTTCTGAACCCCATCTCAACCCCATCCCCCAACCTATGGTCAATGTTACAGCATCCTGTGATCCCTCCCATATGAGAAATTCAGATTACCAGCTTTTTGTGACTTCAAAAACATACTGTCACTCACCATTACGTGACATGGTTTATCCTTTGTTTAAAATGTCTACATATCAATCTTCAGATTCACTCTTGAGCCTTCTGACTTTCAGATTTCTAGTTTCTGTTTTCTTTATGGGTCAGTTGGGGGCAGTTGCTGTATTCTTTGGAAGTTTATTCTGTTTTTAACCCAGACTGGATCTCTCTTCAAGTATGATGGATGTATATGTACGTACTCAATCTTTTTTTCTTTGTTATGGTGTCTAAGCTTCCAAAATTGATCTGGGAAGATTATCAAGAGCCATTTGTCATGTAGAACCCTAAGCTAAATATGTCATTTTCTCCTCAATGTCTCTGCTACTTATCTGGTAAGAGTAAGTAATTGCTTTATAAGAAAGCAATGTAGCTGATACCCTAGGAGACTCCAGCTAGCATAAATCTTGACCTTATTGCAGATGACTATTGGCCAAGAGGGGGAAAAAAAAAATCCGTATCCTGGCAAAAAAACAGGAAAGTAAATACTCTGAGTTTCCTGGGGCTGCTTCCGAAAATCCAGGTCGCCTGCTCTCACGGCCTTCTGAGTAACTTCTAAACAAATACAGCTCTTTCACATAGCAGCAAGTTTAACTATTGCTATATTCTGGGGCTGTGCCAAAGAAAACAGTCTGTCGTTTAAAGAGAAGAAAACAAGGTTCCAAGACTCTGTGAAACAGCAAAGAAAATAAATGACGGCAACTGAAGGGTAAAGGGGAATATTCTAGAATACTTGTTACTTGCTATATTTACCAGGCACTTTCTGGGCAGGGTTAATGTGAAAAGATTAGCTAGATGTTTGTTTGTTCGTTTCAAAGAAATGGAGTGTGTTATTTCAAACTCCGAAAAGAGAAAGAATGAGAGGCAAGAATGGGGCCATTAGCTATGAGGTCAACAAAGAAGAAAGTCTTCTCTGGGGAAAATTGCCAGCCTTTTCTCCAAAGTGGAAGGCCTAAACCCAAGCATGCTGACTTCCAGTTGCGTTGATTGATTTCTAAAGAAGTCAAGAATGAATGCAGCCTGTGTGGCCCCAGGAAATCAGTTTTCTGCTATGAAGATCAGTGTCCTAGTGGGTTTTCCCCAAACCAGAAACAAGGGTGAGTGTGAAAGCCATTCTGTTGGGAGATGACTTCAGAGAGCAGAAGCGAAGTCCTGAAAGGGAAACAGGGAGGCATAAGTCGGAACAGTAATGTGTTTTTATTTAGTTGACCAGTACTCTGGAACATCTCCCAGGACCCTCTGAGGAAGCCTTAAAAATTTACTTTAAACTTACCTGGAGAGTGAAAAGGCCTTTATCTATGGGCTCTTGTCCCATTTTTAAAAACTGTTCCTACAAGTATCTTCTCTCCACACTCCTAGATTAAGCATGTTAGAGCACCAAGGTCACTCACACCGGGCTTATGTGCCAAGACATCAGAGAGCCCCAAAACAGGAGAAAGGAATGTGGTATAGAACTGAAGCAAGGATCTGTACAAAACTAGTCAACACCCTTGTGGAACTGATCTCTGCAGCAGTGGCTAGGGTAGGAGCCTTGAGAATAGAGTGTAACACAGTGACCTTCATCAACAGTTGGCCCCTTCTACCGCTCAGATATGCTCATGACCTCTTTTAATTTTAAGTCCCTCCATCCCAAAGCCCCCTTATAACGGAAGCCAGTCAAAAAACTCCATGAGAACCTAATACAAAATACTTGTCAGAATAAGTGCCAAACCCTGCTGTTTTAGTCAGCTTTTTCATTGCTGTGACTAAAAATCTGATCAGAACAATTTTAGGGTAGGAAAAGTTTATTTGAGGGCTCACGGTTTCAGAGATCTTAGTTCATAGAAGACCAGTTCCATTCCTTAGAGTTCAGGTGAGGCCGAACATCATGTGGAAGTATGTGGCAGAGGGAAGCAGCTCACATGATGATCAGGAAGAAAAAGAGAGAGAGAGTCTCCACTCTCCAGATACAAATTATATATCCCATAGCCACGCCCCCAAAGAACCACTTCCTCCAGTCACACCCCACCTGCCTCCAGTCACCATTCAGTTAATCCCATCAAGGAGCAAATCACTGATTAGGTTAAGGATATAACCCAATCATTTCTCCTCCAAATCTTCTTGCATTGTCTCACACAGGAGCTTTTAGGGGATACCTCACTTCCAAACCATAACACCTGCTGCTCTGGAGGCCTTATCTGATACTGAGCATCTCGGTCCTCCAGCACCCAGTCTTCATCCTCCTCCCCTCCAGGCAGCATTTGGCTGACATAGATTCTCTTCCTGGAAGAGGAAGCCTAGCTTTTCACTGAGAAGTCTGAGTCTTTGTTGCTTTGTCCTTAGCCGGTCCTGTTTCCTCTAGTGGCCTGTTTACCATTATACCAGACTTGAAATCACCAAGAGAGGCTCCAAGGACCCCCCCAGTTTCTTGATAGGTTCCTTCTTCCCCCATTGGGTGGCAGTAGCCCTATCTTCTCATGAGGACCCCCACCAGTGTAGTGACATGTTGTTGGTATTTGATCCACTGGTATGGGAACCCCAGATGATCACGGAGTGGTCATAGCTTTATGTTCAATGGAAACATTATTTTATTCCCTGGTTCATTCTCCCCAAGAACACAATCCACAATCTAACTGTGCCTAGGTTTATAGGCACAGGAAGCACAGATGTGATGATTGGAGAAACTAGTAATGACTGTGTATCAATGCTTTAAATTGTTTTGTTGTTTCCACTATAATCACTGTTACTGCCTTCCTTCTTAAATGTATTTACTTTTTATTCTTTTGCTTTATGAGGTAAAATATTATATCATGTATTTTCAATCATTATTATTTTCTAATATTAGCATTTAAAGCTATACATTTCCCTCGAAGCACTGCTTTAGCTGACTCATATATTTTAATATGTTGAGTTTTCAATATTGATCATTTTAAATTAAATTTATCATGTCATTTTTTGTTTCCTTTTTGATCTATGGGTTTTATAGAAGTATGTTACCTATCAGTATGCAGACTCTTTCTAAAATATTTTAGTTGTTGATTTTAATTGAATTCCCTTTTAGAGTAAGGGTATATTCTATTCCATTTTAACCAACTGAAATGTTTTGAGACTTATTTTATGGTTTAGCACAAAAAAGATTGACAATTTTGATGAATGAACTCTAATACACTTGAATATTGGTCATCATTGGAGATCAAACGTGGCAGCATTGGAGATCAAACCTAGGACCTCATGCATGCTAAGTTAGCACTCTACTGTTGAGCTACATCCTCAGCATCAAGAATATCTTATTTTCTCTCAGAACCCAAAGTTCCTTCTAAGAAAATTCTCAGAATTAGAACTCTAGAGGGTTTCTTGTATTCAACTTCTTTAAAGTTTACAAATTCATGCAGAAGGAAGACACAAGCCCTCAAGTATTGTTTTTCAGCAGATTGGATAGAGAAATTTCATTTTATTAACTACTATGATTTGTTATATAAAGCACAGAT